CAGGACTGAACTACCTCTAGGGCCTGTGCTATTTTCTCTGAGTCTCAGTGGAAAGAGTGAGGGAAAGGGTTGCGTGACATAGGGGCAGCCCAAGCAAAAAGTCAGGGGCCCTATGGTGGAGCAGGGTGAGTGGCTCTGGGCAGACATAGGCACCAGATGGTTACCAGGGAAAGTTCAGCAAATATGGTGACTCCACCATCACACACACACACATGCAGAGGTTCTCATGCCATTCTCCTCCACAGTGTTCTTACCAACCTAGTCACCATCTCTAAGGTAGGGCTCTATCCTAGCAGTGAGTGGCAGAGCAACAGGAACCTGAGCCCAGCAGGGGCAGTGCCCAACTCCTCCAGGCACTTTTGTGATCTGCTCACTTTGTTTACCAACTCCCCAATGTTTCCAGCTTTGGAATCAGGCAACCCTGGGCCCCAGATACAAATATTTAATTTACTGATGCTCAACCTCTTTGAGCCTCAGCATGTAGCATGGTGAGGTGCCTGGGAGATAGCAGGTACTCTGGGAGGATGGCTGTGATTGTCTCTCTGCTCATTTCTTCCCTATTCCCACCCCTTCAAGACCTCTCCCTTGAGCACAGCAAAAATGAGGGTGTGGTTGATGTGGAACATGAGTATCTGGACCATTTTGACATTTTCAGGACAGCTGTTCTGGGTCTGGCCCTGTGCTCAGCTGGGCTCTACAGTTGGGGATTGTGGTGGATGATTCAGGTTTATGGGAGACAGATTTAATCACAGTCACTCTGATCAAGACAGGAGAGCCAGAAACACCACAGGTCGCTGACTGGGCTCAGGGACCAGTGAGCTCCTCTGCTAGGGTCACCATTGGCTCCTTACTCCTGGCTGGCTGAGTAGGGTCTCAAAGGCTAGGCTGTCAGAGGGGTGAGACTGATGAGGAAGGCATGTGGATGAAGGGAACAGCTTGGGCAGAGGAGGTAGGAAGTGTGCAGGTAGCAGGTCCAGAGCATGCCAGGCTGAGAATACACTAGGCGGGGTGCCTCAGATGCCCAAGTGACACACTGGACTATTCTCAATTCGGGTCTCAGTTGTAGACAGTAAAGGAACAGGGGAGGCCCTGCACTCACACTTGTAGCAAGCTGGGAATTCCCATATATAACACAGTGCTCCACCTGAAAGAGGCCAAGGAGACTGTCCCAACCCCTACCAGACATCTTCCCTCTAAGCTCTGGAGGACAGTGCCACCCTCTTCCTGACCTGGGAGTTCTTGGCCTGGAACCCTGAGGGTCTACAAGTAGGTTTCAGGGGTCCACTCATCCAGGCCAACCAAGTGTAGACCACTGAGCCAGGCCCTGGGAGAGCACGGTGAGCCAGGCAGTTGCACATCTTTGCCCTTGTGGAAGTCATTGTCTGGGGAGGAGACACTCAAAATAATAAGTAAACAAGAGAAGAGCAAAGTCAATCCAGATTATGGTAAATGGTCAGTGCTTGTGGGGAATAGAGTGGCCCACTGGAGTTTGAAAGCAAGAAAGCCCTGTGCCAGGAGGTGAGCAATGAGAATGAGAAGGAAGCCACCTGGGGAAGCAGTCTGAGGGAAGAGCACTTCCAGCTAAGGGAAGATATTTTACTGGGCAAGGGAAGAATGACTTCCCTTCAGCCTTCTGGGTTCTTTGGGCTACCAATTGAACTGACATAGGGCAGCTTAACAAGAGAAAACAGATAAAAAGGATCAGAAGCAGTGTCAGGTGAGTAGCATCCTGAGCTACAGAAAGAAATAGGGGCTTAGGAATTTTGGGGGTGGAGACATGCTTTGTGGGAGGGTCCGGGAGGAACTGAGTAGTGAATAAAGTTCGTCTTGGTATACAGATAATATCTTTCAGGTAATGAAAGTAATCTCTTCCTGTAGATTACTAGTGTGTGTGTGTGTGTGTGTGTGTGTGTGTGTGTGTGTGTGTGTTTGTGTGTGTGTGAGAAAGAGAGAGAGACAGACAGACACTGGGGATTGAACCCAGAGGTATTTTACCACTGAGCTATATCCCCAGCCCTTTTATTATTTTTTGAGATAGGGCTTACTGCATTGCTGAGAGTCTTGCTAAGTTACTGAGGCCTTGAACTTGAGGTCCTCCTGCTTCAGCCTCCTGGTTTTTGGGATTTCAGGTGTGTGCCACCACACCCAGTTAGGTTTCCTTTATGAATAAAATTTCTCTTACAACAGGACAGCTTTTCGGAATTACTCCTCAATTTTTTTCAGAATAACCAGCTCAAACTATGCCAAAGAAATAAATTTAGGGGTGACACTTTCTTGTCTCCTCCAGTTATATCTTGGGGGGGTATGTCTTGAGCCCTTTGGTCTACATAAGGGGATGGGAAGGGCTCTGATGCTTGCCTCAGATTCTCAAAGGTATCCCTGACCCCCAAATAGGTATGTTATGTTCTACTTTGGGGCAATGGCAGGGAGAGCATGAATCGCAGCTCTGGGAAATGAGATTTGGGGTCTGTTCAGTGTTCTTACTAAGAAGAAATCCAGGGAAATATTTTCTGGCTTGAATAACAGGACTAGTTGTGCTTCACCAGAACAATTTCTTTCTCCAATTTTGTGGACACTGTGAATGATGCTGACTGATCGTTTTCATCTTTATGTTGGCTTCAAGAAAGCTTATTTCATTCATGTATGAATTTATCCAATGAATAATTTTATTAAGCTTCTCTTGAGTGCTAGTGCTGTGTTTACAGCAAAAAGTGGGGTCATCACAGAAAGTGCCAGCATTGGTCGATATGTATATAAGATGTCAGTTGACCGCCTTCCTGTCTGATTAGATTCTTTTTGTTTGTTTCTTTTTTGTTTTGGTACTGGGGATTGAATGCAGGGGCACTCCACCACTGAGCCACATCCCCAGCCCTATTTTGTATTTTATTTAGAGAAAGGGTCTCACTGAGTTGTTTAGCACCTTGCTTATGCTGAGGCTGGCTTTGAACTGGCGATCCTCCTGCCTCAGTCTCCCAAGCTGCTGGGATTATGGGCGTGTGCCACTGCACTAGGCAGATTCTTTCCTTTTCTTTCTTTTTTTTAATATTTATTTTTTAGTTTTCGGTGGACACAACATCTTTATTTTATTTTTATGTGGTGCTGAGGATCGAACCCAGCGCCCCGCGCATGCCAGGCGAGCACGTTACCGCTTGAGCCACATCCCCAGCCCTTCTTTCCTTTTCTTAAACCACTATTTCTATTCTGTCTTTTTTTTTTGCCTGCCCCATAATTGTGACTTTTATTTTACCATATTATATATTTTTATGAGCCAGCACAAAATTTTCTGGGCAAGGTAGAAGTATAAAGAAAAAGAAATAGAATATAGATGCCTACTGTGATATTGGCAAATATATATTTAGTCTTTGTTTCTCATTTCCTGTCATACAAATCCTAAAGTCCTTGGACTCTCCAAAGTGATACATGGCTTTCTATGCATGGCTGATGGCAGCCCCTAGGCAGCAGGTTGGAGCTGTTCTTGGGAAAGATGGAGGCAGGATTGGAGGATTGGGACTTTCAGCCCTACCTCCAATCCCCGAGAAGAGAGAGAGGGACTAAGTTGTGAAGTTGACTACCACTGACGGATGATGTCATCAATCATGTCATAAACTCCAGAAGGACAGGGTTCAGAAAGCTTCCAGGTAGTGGAATACAAGAAGGTTCCTGGTGGTGGTGCAACTAGAGAGGGCTTGGGAGGTCCACACCCCTTCCCCCATACCTGGCTGTATGCATCTCTTTCTCCATGTGTTTTATAATATCTTTTATGATAAACCAAGAAATTTACCTGTTTCCCTGAGTTCTGTGAACCACTCTAGGAAATTAATTGAACCCAAGGAGGGGGTGATGGAATGCAGATTTAGATCCAGTTGGTCAGAAGCACAGGTAAAAACAACTTGGGGCTCACTGTTGGGATCAGAAGCATGGTGGAGGGTGGGACAGTCTTGTGGAACTGAGCCCTCATCTTGTGGGATCTGACATGGTCTCCCAGTAGAGGGTATCAGAATTAACCTAAATTAGAGGTCATCCAGTTGGTATCCATTGCTGAGGGACTTTTGTTTGGTGTGTATGGGAAAACTCCCATGCATCTGGGGTCACAGAAGTATTTTGAGTAGTGAGAATGTAGGAGAAACTGAGTTTTCCCCTCTATCTTCTCACTACTTTATTTCTTCTCAGGGAGAGGAACTGGAAATTGAGTGATGAGAAATCCAGACCAGCCCTCAGAACCCTTTAAAAGATTGCCACTCCAATCCTTAAAAGCTTTTCAGTAACAAAATCTTAAGCCTGTGTGAACACAAACAAGACAACTGTAAGAAACCCAATACATTCATCTCCTAGATGACACCATTATCAACATTTCACCATACTTTCTGCATTTATTTTGCCCCATCTCCTTTTTTTTGTTTCATTTTCCAAAATATTTTGAAAACTTTCAACTCAAAATGGGGTCTGAGGACCAGTAGCAGCATTGGCGTCACTGATGAGCTTTTTAGAACAGAATATCAGCCCTGCTCCCTGACCTCCTCAGTCAGAATCTTCAATTTAATGAGATTCTCAAATGATTCATTCACACATTAATGGTTCAGGAGCATTACTTTAGAGCAAATCACAAATGAAATGTAGTAATGTCATTTCACCCCTCACTGCATTTATGAAGAAGAGCATGTTTTCTTACACATAGTGTTCTCATCAACTAATAAAATTAATGATAATTCTTTGGTATCATCTAATATGCTGGCCACATAAAAATTTCCCTGTCTTAAAATGTCTTTTAACGGTTGATTTGTCATATTAAGATTCAAACAAGGAAAAATAAAAGGGGATCAGAGGCTCTTGGTCAGATGCTACCTTCCTCTAGTCTTACTCCCATGGGGGGAAAAACATGGGGGTAGGGGGCTCACTTTTCTCATCTGTGAAAGGGGGGATAATGACACCACAGGATCTGATGAAATAATGGGTGGTAAAGGCCCAGACTCCTTCATCAAATGTTCCTCTTATCCCTATAGGCCAGGTTCTCCTGGAGGCCTTCAATGTGGATGTGACCCGGCCCTGGATCACAGCTGAAGGAGACTCACATTTCGTGCTCAGCTCCCTTCTGCACCAAGACCCTAGCACCAACCGGACCTGGTGAGTAGAAGGGTGAAGATTGGTGGGTTTCTGGGGAGCCTGAGAGGCATCCCAAGATGGTGTCAACACCTCACCCCTGTAGTCTGGACAGAAACTCCCTTCACTTTCGGAAAGATACTCAGCAGAAACAAAAGTTGCAGGAGAAGCCTGGGCCCACAGCTGGTCTGTAGAGTCCATAGAGCCCCCATCCCTCTCCTCTTTCAGTCCTCTTTCTGCTCCACTGCTTGGGGGAGGGGAACTTAAAAACTATTTTAGAATAAAGTTCATGATGGCTCTTTTGTTTCTTATAAAAGCAACATGTGTTCAACATAGACAATTTAGTATATTAAAAAGTAACATGTGCTCAACATAGAAAATTTGGAAGGCCACCAAAAAAAGTTTAAAAAAAAAAAAGAAAAAACTGAAACTATGAGGCCCAAGAACTAGTGATTAAGAGGCAGGCTATGATGTGCTGGACCCAGTGTCACATCTCTACTATAATCCCAGCAACTGGGGAGGCTGCCAGGAAGATTGAAAGTTTGAAGCCAGCCTCTGCAACTTGGAAAGACCCTGTCTCAAAATAAAATAATAATAGGACTGGGGATGTAACTCAGTGATAATGCTCCCTGGGTTCAATCCCCAGTACCAGAAAAAAAGACAAGAAAAAAATCTGACAGCACTGTGCAGTAAGGATGTGGTGAAACAGGGTTGTAGGGGGGTGTACCTTGGTTTCACCACCTTGGAGAGTAATTTTGCCATATCTGGTAAAATCAGGGATGCACGTAGCCTTTGACTCAGCAGTTGTACCCCAGATACCAACCTTAGAGACACTCCCATTAAAAAAAAATTTACACACACACACACACACACACATTTTTAATGTGGTTCTTGGAATTAAACCCAGGGCCTCATACATTCTAAGTACATGCTCTGCCACTGAGCTATGTCCCTAGCCCATTGTGTGTGTGTGTGTGTGTGTGTGTGTACAGGGTCAGAGTGCTGGAGATTGAACCCAGGGCCTTGTAAATGTTCTACTGCTCAGCTAGACCCCCAGCTCTTACAAATTGTTGATTGTACATTGCTAGTAATAGTGAAAGACTAGACAGGTTCAGCACTGGGAAAATGGAAAAATAATATATGTATTATGTGAAGCAGTTCTAAAAGCAGGTTAAATGAGTGAAACTAGTACTTTGGTGATTAACGTAGATCAACCTCAAGACATACTGTGAGATGACAAAGGGCAGGTTGTGGAATTAAATACGCAATAGTCATTTACTCAACAAATATCTGTTGGACACTTTCTAATGTGCCAAGCCTGAGGGATGCAGTGAGCACAGCAAACAAAACCCCCAAGGCTTGGGGAGCTTACATGTTGGCAGGGCATAAATAGGTCAAATATGTCTTCTATTATGTGGTGATAATGATGGTATGCTAGGGTAGGACTATATCTATATTTAAGAGAAGCTTCCTGTTGTCACCAAAATGGCTTTTATAGCTGTGTTGTTTTAAAGCAGGATCTGGTTGTGATTCATATTGTTGTTGTGTCTTTCTAATCTATTTTTAAAGCAGTCCTTTCTTGCCTCCCCCCACTTTTCTTTTTCCCCATAATGATTATTGGTTTTTTCTGTGCTTGTCCTACCATGAAGCCAGGCTTAGGTCCAGCCCCAGGCTTCTTCTTTCTGTCCACTTTCACCATTTAGTTTCTAGTCATTGGTCAAGTGTTGGCTTTAAACCTAGCTCATACGAGCCTATGGTCTAGACAGATTTTGGCTAGAGCCATGTGAGGCGCTCAGGGTTCTGCAGAATAGAGCAGCTCTGCTTGGTAGAGGTTGAGTGGGCAGTAGAAGCTCCTAGAGCAGCCTCATAGGCCCTGGGACATGGGCTATGACCCTGACAATCAGGTAGGCTTGGTCCCTTTCTGGTCCCTAGTTTCTTTGTACAGTGAACAGTCTGGTGTAATCTTGCTTATGTTGTTAATAGTGAGTTTCTGTTGTTTATAACCAAGAACTTTAACTGCAATATCAATATTAAAATTAAAAATAGTCCATGTCTATTTTGGTAAGAATGGCTTATAAATCATAAAATCATTACCATAAATTAAACTTTTTCTATGCTGGTCCAACCTCCATTCCTATAATAATAAAACTATGATGTTAAGGGCTGGGCTTGAGCCTGGAGCTGGGCCTGAGGCTTGCTTGGTGGATTTAATCAGTAGGTTTAGGTGATAAAGGAAGGTGCCATTCATTCTTTTATTTATTCACTCCTTCAGCAAGGATCTATATTCAGGGTCAGCATAGGGGGATGAGATAGTGGAGACATGGCCACTGTTCTCATGGGGCTACCAGGCTCCTGAGGGAAACAGACAAGTTGGACAATGGCAAAGATAATGACAGCTCTGGTGGGGGCATCAAGGGTACCCAGGAACATAGAGACAGCTGTGTTCTTCAGTACGTACAACAGAACTCAGGAGATGAGTAGAAGTTTGTGTGAGAAAGGATGGAAAAGGAAAGTTCAGTCAAAAAGAACAGCCTGAGCAAGATGAAGGACTGAGAAAACTTCATGTGGCTGAGGCTGAGAGTGAGGAGAATCTGATGGGAGAGGTGGGTGGTGCTTTGTCACCAGGCACAGAGGGTTTGAAGGAGCTAGAAGGGTACTAAGCAGGGATGGATAGTGAGAAGATTATCAGGGAGATTTGGGCTGTGGGAAAATGAATTAAAAGCCTATGTTTACGGTGTTTTGTTTAGGTGAAATTTGATTGACATATGCCATGTGCAAAAAAAATGCACACATCAAAAGCATGCAAGCTCATCCTGCTAAGCTGCCTATGCAAGTAAAGTCCAGACCTAAAGGACTGTAGCAGCCTGTAGAAACCTCTGGAAGCCCCATGGTCAATTAGAGACATATCCCCTGCCAATAGTAGCCTCCTCCTGACTCTTGTCTCTGTAGTTTAGTTCTGCCTGGTTTTGAACTTGATATAAATGAAGCATACAATATGTGCTCTGTCTGGCTCCTCTCACTCAGCATAAGGTCTGTGAATCTCATTCATGGTATTGCCTGTGGCTATAACTCTCATACCCTTTGCTAGATTTTTCCATTGTGTGAACAGTACTAATGGTGGGCATGTGGGTAGTTTCCTTGCATACTTCCATTTGACGGATGGGTGTACTTATTTTCATTGGGCCCATGAGTAGTATTGCTGGACCATGGATATGCATTAATTCAGCACTGAGTTTTCCAAACTGTTTGTAATGCATCAAAGTCCAAGTTATCTGTGACCATCTCCTGTTCACCTATTACTACTCCAGTGGATCCTTCCCAGAATGTTCCCTGCCCCAGAACCCCAAAGGCCCATGTAGATGAGGGATGTCTGTTTGAAGTTCCTGGTACAGAGGGCTCAAAGCTTGCTCAGGGGTGGGGGAGAACTCAGTGGGGCTCAGGAAACCTCCCAGAACACCTACTTAAGCAGAGGGGGCTCACGGGGTTTCACATGCTGGGGAGGAGGATGTGGTAGAGGCACTTCTGAGTTCCTGCCACAGATGATAGTCCACAAGACCACGGGCAGGAAATGCACTGGTTGGCCAGTTGGGCCATATAAAACAGGCTGCCTCATCCTGCCTTTTGCACGTCTTTTCCCCATGATGATCACTGTTTTTTTTTTCTGTGCTTGCCCTACTACCAAATGAATTAAAAGTCTATGTTTACCTAAAAGTCAATTTTACCTAAACAAAATTTTACCACCTACCACCAACTCCCTCACACTGTTTCTCTCTAAAATATAACAGACCAGGGCTGGCAGCACCCTGGGCTTCGGCTGCTGCAAGGGATATGGAGTGGGACATAGAGCAGGCCTCCCCCCTGCCCGAGAGACTTGGAAATGGACTCCAAGAAAGATAGGTTAGATATGCAAGAAGGCAGGAGATAGACAAGGGGTGCCGGGGCTATAGCCAGCCCTCAATGGAATAGGGTCCCTGTAGCTGTTAGTGGATGGCTGATCCTCTGTCACTGCTGGTCAGTCAGTGTTTAGTGGATTTATCAGTCACTGGGGATCACTGGTCATGGGGGAAAAATGGGATGGGGAGCAGAGGCAGCTCAGACTGGGCCCCAAATCATGCTATTGAATGACTGTGATAGAAATGGCAATCTTTGGGATCTGCAGTGTGCAGCTTGCATAGCTGTACATGGTAGTCTCTTGGGAACTCAGTTTAAATGGGAACAGAGGACAGGAATGAGAAGGGAGGCTAGTAGTCAGGGCTACCTACTGGCCTTGGAGGGGATCAAGTTTCACCTTCTTTTAGGAGGGCTTCCTAAGTAACTGGTGTCTGGGTAATTCTTCTGCAGGAGAAGGAAGTGGAAGGCAGAGAAAACAGTTTGGCCAAGGCCTGAAGAGGAGAGAGCTCAACTGGTCCAGGGCTGTATGTGGCCCATGTTCTGAACCCACCTGTTGTGGGGAGCAGGGGAAAAAGTACTGGGCCAGGGCTGAGGCTTAGGCTGGGGAGAAGTCTGGGGAGAGCAGCAGGGCTGCTGAGGGTGACCTAATTTGGGGGCTCAGCTGCACCTGGCCTTCCTCCCCCTCTGCTGTTGCCTGGGCTGTCATTCATGTCATTCAACAAAGATCTACTGAGCCCCTGCTCTGTGTCAGGCCTTGGGAATTACAAGGTGAATGAGTTAGAGACAATCCTTAGGGAACTCACTGGTTAGTGGGGAAACACAGAATAAACAGGTAATCAAGTAAACCAGATACGATTAGGTGGCAACAGGTTCTGAGGAGGAAATAAAATGGGGTAATGTAGCAGTTAACAGGGCTGTGAGGTGGGGCTGGCTAGAGAAAACATTTATGAGGAGAGACCATTAAGCAAGGCACAGGAATGAGAAAGAACCAAACTAGTGAAGAGTGGAAGGTTCTGGGCAGAGGGAATAGCAAGGCAATGGGCCTGAGGCAGGAAAGGACCAGAGGCTGTCTAGGGGACAGGGGAGGCCCGGAAGGCAGGGAGGGTCTAGACTGCAAAGCCTGTGGGCTGTGCTAGAGGTTTTGACCATTTTTAAAAGTGTGTGGGTGTAGAGAGCGGTGATAGTGAATGGGAGAGCAGTGTCTGAAATTGAGGTCCCTGATGATTTCATGGCTGTGACATGCTTGGTGCCTGGGGAAGTTTCTGTGAAAAGGTACAGGATGCCTAGTTTCTATGGTAATGCCCTCCATGAGGAGGCCCTGTTCTACAGTCTTATCAGCCTGGACCTTGATCTCAGGCACACAACTCCTGAGAATAAAGGAACTCTTTTGCTAGACAACCACAATGTTTCACCAGCTCTGTTGCTCCTGAACCTGCCTGCATAACAGTAACTTTAAACAGTGGACTTTCTTCAGAGCTGCACAATCTCCTAACATTGCACATTGCAACTGTAAAATGTAACTGAGGAATAAACTGCATAATGTTGCTAACTCTGTAACTTTCATGAATACAAAGAATAATGCTTGCATAGTCTTTAATCTATGAGACAAATATAATAAAGATTGCTGGCATAATTCTTTAGACCTGCTTTTCCATCAGAAAGCAGTGTTCCACCCAATCCCAGCTGTTATCTTCAAAAATCTGCATATGTGAGTCTTTATTTTTCTAAATGGAACCTGCTAGTTTGGCTGCGCTGGTCTCAGGCAGTTGGTGGCCTGTATGGATCCAGATACAGGGGAACTAGCAGGTTCCATTGAGGGTCAATTAGTTCTGGAGGTCATAAATCTGACACAGGTCCTAATGGGCTAAAATCAAGATGTCAACAGGGCCACATTCCCTCTGGAAGGTTTAGGAAGTGTTTTCTTGCCTTGTATAGCTTCTAGACACTACCCATATCCTTGGTTCATGGTCCCTTTCGTCCGCCTTACATCCTGTAATATCACATATTCAGACCTTTTTTTTTTCAATATTGAAAAATCAATATTTATTTGACAGATAACTTCTGAATTAATATAAAGAAATGACAATAACTTGTATATACATTCATTCAAAACATTTTCATTAAGCACCAAGTAGAATAGTTTCTGATCTTGAGCCATGTTCCCAGCCCTATTTTGTATTTTATTTAGAGACAAGATCTCACTGAGTTGCTTAGCACCTGGGTTTTTTTTTTTTTTTAAACTTTTATTTTTTAGGTGTAGATGGACACAACACAATGCCTTTATTTTTATGTGGTGCTGAGGATCGAACCCGGGTCCCGCCTGTGCTAGGCGAGTGCTCTACCGCTAAGCCACAATCCAAGCCCCGGCACCTGGCTTTTGATGAGGCTGGCTTTGAACTTGCAGTCCTCCTACCTCAGCCTCCTGAGCCACTGGGATTACAGGTGTGTGCCATCACACTGGGCATTTATTTACGTTTTTAATCAAGAAATCTAAAGCTGCCAATCAGAGCTTCTAAATGGCATGAAATGACCAAGTTAAAACCCTTATGAGTAAAAGATAACTTTTAAGTTTTGATCTACACACTCCAACCAAGGGGAGATATGCTGGCCTCAGGCTAGTCATCACAGGTCATAGGTCCACAAACAAAATGAGTAATATATATACACAAAGTGGGTACAAAATACATATTCCTATATATTCCAGAGCAGTAATGCCTATTTCCCATGAGCATACAATGCAGGAAGGGGCACAAAAAAAGATACCATTCACTAACCCACAAGACAGAGGAAGGAATAAAACATACCACCCAGTGGAGCCGCCATGTCTGGGGTGGTGGGCTGCGGCCCACTGCCCTTCAGATCTTTCTCTGACTCTGAGTTTCCTGCTTCCTTCTTAAAAGGGCTAATAGTAGAACTATTAGCCATGTCCACCTGGATAATCCAGGATCATCTTCCCATCTCAAGATCCTTAATTTAATCACATGTCCCCATCTCAAAGATCCTTAATTTAATCATGTCTGCAAAGTCCCCATCACTGTGAAAGGAAACCTATCCACAAGTTCTGGTGACTAGCATATGGACAAATTCTGGGGACTAGGATGTGGACATCTGGGAAGCCATTATTCTGCTCACAGAGCCACAGCTGGCTGGTCTAACATCTGTCTGCTGGAGGGACGCTGAGGCCACAGATGTGAAAGTGTGAATTTGAGCATTGATTCAGCACTGAAGCCATGGGCTGGGAAGGGTCACCATGGAGAGTGTGATGGTTAGGAAGACAAGGAACAAGTGACATTTAGAGGTCAGATGGCAAATAAGCCAGTGAAGGAGTTCCAGAAGGAGAAGTGAGAGAGCAAGGAAATCGGAAGAAAGAGCATCAGAGAGGAGAGGGCCACTTACATCCTGGGCTGCTGAGAGGTTAAGGAAGATGAGGACAGTATCCACCAGATACTGATAACCTTGACAAGAAGTGTAGTAGAGGCAGAAGTAAGCCTGGTAGGTTCACCTGGGGTGGGACACATGCAAAGATGTAGACTTCTTATTCTGTAAACCATGCAAATCTGTGAATATATTTTATAATAAAAACCTTGTATTGTGATAAGAGGTGAGGAAGTAGAGACAGCACCTCACTTTTGTTTCTCATCCTGTGCTCTCAGTCTGTCCCCTGCATATCATGATCTTTCAAAAGCACAGACTAGTCATGTGCTTCCCCTTTATAAAGTCCTCCATGGTTTCCCACTTCTCCCAACAGGAAGACTTTGAACTGGGTTGGATCACTGTTACTAAGCCACACCTCCTCAGATCCCTTTCCCACCAGCCCTGACTTGCAGCCCTCAGCCTGAGGTGCTCGCCCTCTGTCTCAGGGAAACCCAGCCTTCCCCTGGACTACATGGAAAGTGAGAAGGTTTAGTCTGATACTGGACTCTGCCATCTCCCTGTCTGCTTAGGGTGGGGGAAAAATGTAACCAGGAATCACATCTCCTGAGGATGGCTTCATCAGGCCCCTACATCTCCAGTGCTGACTGACCTACAGGGGCACTGGCATGTTCTTCTCAGGAAACGCTGTCTCTGAATACTACCCTTGAGTGGTAACCAGGAAGCCAGCAGTGCCCCCCAAAGAACCAACTGTGTTGCTGGTGGCTTCCTGGCTCCTTCTACCCCCATCCCCATCCCTATCACCAACTTAGTTCCCAAGAGAGAACTGGGTCTTTACCTATCACCAGAAACTCTGTCAGGGTGGACAGCAGGCAGAGAGGGGCTACGTCTAACCATTTCTTGCCCAGAGCTGAACAGAAGTAGAGGCTGAGAAAATACCTTCTCTGTAATGCAGAGGCTGATGTCTAGGCTAGGACTCTGCCTGTTTCTCCTGGGGTCTGGGCCTTCTCCATCACCAGATGGACAGGGAGGCTGTGGACCTGGAACAGGAAGACCATGCCTGGTCAGAGAAGGGAGTCCTTAGCTGGCTCAGCCTTGCTGTCTGCCCACCCTGCCTCCAGGCTCCTGATCACCAGCCCTAGAACAGCAGCACCCCTACATCAGTGTTCCCTCAGCCAGGATGAAATTGTCTGCCAACCAGTAGGTAAGTCAACCCAACTCCAGGTAATGTTCCCCAGATCCCCTTTTCTAGGAGTCCCACTGATTCCAACCCAAACCCTTGCAATCCCAATTCCACCTAATCCAGGCCAGTATCTCCACAGTGACCTCCCATCCGGCACCCAGACCCCTTTGCACCCAGCCCCAATCACCTGTCCACCTTCCCCCATTCTGTCCTCTATTTACTGAGTGTGCACAGTATGCCTGGTACCCTGCTGAGTGCCTCGTTCACTTTGAATCCTCCAAATCATGCCATTCACAGGAGAGGAAGCTACAGTTCACAGAAGTTAAATTCTTTGGTTGCCAGTATGGCTAAAGTGACACCTCTGTCATTGGTGGTACCACAGATGCAAACCCCACTCTAGCTGATTCCAAACCCCAACCCAACCCAACCCAATTCCTCACACCTCCAAGGAATTCAGCCCTCCCATCTGGTCTCACTATGTCCTTCTTTAAGGTCCAGCATGGGGTCTGGCATATAGGATATGTGGTAAGTGCTATTCAAATGAAGCATGAAGGAAGGAAGGAATGTGATTCTTCATTAACCAGATCTACCTTCCCACCCAATGCAATTTACATCACCCAGGCTCTGACAGACATTGAAGTAGAATCATTGTCTCTGGGAGAGGTGTTGAGTTGTACAGACTCAATCTCTGCCAAGATAAGTTCACAGTCCAGCAGGAGGGCTGGAGGATTCTGTGACTCAAAAATAAGAGTATCTTGAGGCCATAGCAGGGAGATGGAGGGAGGAGCTTTCACTCCTGCCTCTGGGGTCGTGGGGCAGTAAGATTTCCAGGGTTTTTGAGGTTGGAAGCTTCCCTGGCCCTCATAGGTGGTCCTACAACATCTTGCACACTCACCTGGTACTGCACATACCCACTAGTAGTGCTTTTTTACCTGGACTCCAGACCAGGAGCCCCTTGAGGAAAAGCCCTAGGTCACAATCATTTTTGGATCCCCATCAGCCACAAGGCTGGGTACAGAGCAGACATCAAGGGGCATTTGTGGAGGTAGTAAATGAGGCCAGGAAAAGGCATTGCATCCAGGATATGTCCAGGCCTGTCCTTGGAGCCCTCCACCCCAATTCCAGCCTCTTGGTACTGCTCAGGGTCCCTTACAAAGATGGCCCTGTGCCCTTGGAACTTGGATGTAGGATTGCCTCCCAGCATCTCTACCTTCTTACCTGGTTGAACTATTTCAGAGCATGTCCCCATCCCAAAAGGAAGGTACCATGGAGTGACAGTTGTTCGGAACCACCAGGGTGTTTTGGTGAGTATGCATGAGTGGGAGGATGCAGGGCCCTGAGGAGGCTGGTGCTGACCCCTGTGAGCGACTCTGCTCTTGTACCAGTCCTGACTGATGTTCTGTTTTCCTGGTGCATTCCCTGGGCTGTTCATACTCTGACTAACTATGCTCATGCCAGGGCTGACCCAGGTATTCCATGTGGCCTGGCACACCCACCCTGGTGCTAACCTCAGCTTGAACCTCAGCACCAACTCCTCCCCTGTTGAGGGGTGAGCTTTCTGTCTCCGTGACACCTGACTGGTTGAGTCACTGAGTTCCACCATGAGGATTATAGTGTGGCTATGACTAGAACACCAGGGGCTCACTCAACCTTTCTTCTCCCTTTCTTCTCGTCCCCCCAGATATGTGTTCAAGTTCAGGCCCGGCAACTCCACAGCCTCAGCTCAGAACTCACAGGCACCTGCAGCCTGCTGGCCCCTGACTTGCGCCCCCAGGCTCAGGCCTCCTTCTCTGACCTTGGTAAAAATTGCATGCTCTCCAGCCTTGGGCAGCTTTAAAGAGATCCTCTCTACTCTCCAATGAGAGGCACCAGCCATAGCAGGGGCAGAGGAGCACTGAGGCCAAGAGTGGGACAAGGCAGGCTCAGGACCCTATGTGAAAGGAATCATCAGGGCGGAGCTGAGTATAAGCTTGCCTCAGGGAAAGATGGAGCCTTTTGATTCTGAGCTCTTTCGTGTGTTTCTTAAAGAAAATATCCTGGATCCAGAAGAACATGTGGACATAGGGGACTGCTATGGAAACAAAGGAGGCATCTGGAGGAAGGATAAAAACACAGCCAGGAGGCGCAGGGCCCTGGAGAAGGCAGAGGAGGAGGAAGAAGAAGAGGAAGCTGGTAAGAAGAGGCAGATGTGGGGCTCCCAGAGCCAATCCCCAGGCGAGCAGCCTCCTGGGGTGAGATGTGCCCAGGTCTGGGAGATGGAGGGCAGTGGCTGTGCTCTACAGACTTGGCTAGTGTCAGCTTTTCTCCCTCCATCTTATGATGGAGAAACTGAGGCCTAGAGTGAGAGCAACAGAAGTGATTCACACAGCAAGTCAGAAGCAGAGCAGGTTCTAGCTCTCTTTGCCTCTGAGATAAGAGCTTCACTCTCAGGAGGTTCCCTAGCTTCACTCCTGAGCTGAGTCCTCAGGGCTTGTTTGGGGTGTATGCCCTGCAGGGCAGGACATATGCCCACACTCCTGCCCCTAATCTCATGCCCACTCCACATCTGACCTGACCTGCTGCATTGTCTTGGCCAGGTACTGAGATTGCCATCATCTTGGATGGCTCAGGAAGCATTGATCCCCCAGATTTCCAGAGAGCCAAAGACTTCATCTCCAACATGATGAGGAACTTCTATGAGAAGTGTTTTGAGGTGGGTGTCCCTAAAAGCGATCTCATGGAGTTTACCGCTTATCTATTGCCATGTAGAAAATGACCTCAAAACAACCACCATTTTATTTGCTCATAGTTCTGTGGGTCAGATATTTGTGTTGGGCTCAGGTGGGTGGTTCTTCTATGGGTCTGCCTGGTTGCCTGACTGCCTCAGACCTGGATTGTCTGGGCCATGTGTCTTCAGAAGCTCAGCCCAAAATTTCTGTGGCAATAAAATTCCAAGAAGGAAGGACTCAATGCATGAATTTGCTGATGTCCTACTGGTCAAAACAAGTCACACAACCAATCCCAACTCAATATGGAGGGGGTCTACACAGGAACATGAATTCAGGGAGAAATCTGATACACTGGGTTTCATGACCGTCATATGTTCCTCTATACCTACTTGCTTGGTAATTAAAATCTCCTTCTGGGAAGGGGGACAAGGTGGATGAGAGGATTCTTCCAGTGTTTCCAGGGGGAGCCACCTCAGGGATAGGGATGGCCTTGTGCATGGCAACCCTGCCAACATCCTCCGTCCCCTTACCCCTCCCTTCCAGTGCAGCTTTGCCCTGGTGCAATATGGGGCTGTGATCCAGACTGAGTTTGATCTTCGAGACAGCCAGGATGTGATGGCCTCCCTCGCCAGAGTCCAGAAAGTCACTCAAGTGGGGAATGTTACCAAGACCGCATCAGCCATGCAGCACGTCCTGTGAGTAGGATGCCAACTAGCAGCTCCACCAGAGGCTCTGTGTAGCATCATGCCTAGAGAAGGTGGCTGCACAAAACTGAGAAGAGGAAGTGGGGTTCTCATTCTTTCCTAGCTGAGGGAATGTAGGATGACATCCCAGGACCATCTTCCAAAACTCTTTCCAAGGACTTCCTCCCATAAGACAGACACAGTAGAGCACAGTTCAGTGGATAGGCTACCCAGATTCAAATCTCAACTCTAGCTTATACTTATATGACCTTGGGCAAGTTGCCTCCTAACCTTTCTGTGCTTCAATGTCCTCACTTTTTTTTTTTTTTTGAGTCAGGGTCTTGTTAATTGCTGAGGCTAGCCTTGAACTTGTGATGTGATTCTTCTGCCTCAGCCTCCTGAGTTGTTGGGATTATGGGCTTGTGCCACCACATCCAGCCAATTTCCTTACTTTTAACATGAGGATAATAATAGTCCTTGCCTCATAGGATTTTGTGAGGATTAAATGGATTAAAACACGTACAATGCTCACAACAGTGCCTGGCACATGATAAGTGCTTTGTAAGTACTGTCTACCATGTAATAGCAATACTATTCCTGCACACGCATAAAAGGGACAAACTCAAGTGCTGTCTAGCCGCTTTCTGACAGAAGTAGGTGAGGAACAAGGATACATGGTTGCAGGTGCCTTGCTATGTAGCATAAGGGACATCACCCCCCCTTCTTTGGGTCTTGGTTCTCCACTTGGGAGGGCTTATTAAACTTCTCAATTCTAAAACTGATCAGTGAATAACATCTCCCCCAGAGTGCAGTCATCCCTTTAACAATGTTCTCTTCATTGATTGTCCTACCTAGAGACAACATCTTCGTCCCAAAGAACGGCTCCAGAAAAAAGGCATCCAAGGTCATGGTGGTGCTCACTGATGGTGACATATTTGATGATCCCCTCAACCTCACAACTGTCATCAACTCCCCCAAGATGAAGGGTGTTGAGCGTTTTGCCATTGGGGTAAGAGCCAGGAGCCAGGAGGTATTCCTTTCCCCTGAACAGCCTGAGTGGGAAGGAGCCCCTGATAGGGGCTTCTGAAAACAGTGTACCCAAATGCTTTCTATTCTCCAACACTCATTTTCTCCTGGTCCCATGTGCTGTGACCCATTGGGTCTTCCTACAGAGGGCTTATTTCCCAGTGATGGTTACAGCTCCCTGGCTGAGTATGATGGTGATAGCCCACAAGAAGGTTCCTGGAAGAAGTGGTGGGGCTCCATGTCCTGGAGGACCAACAGGAGAAGCTGGCCTAGGGTGTGGGGGGAGCACTCTGCAGGCAGAGGGAACAGCATGTACTGAGATGAGAAGGAGCCTGGCATCTTAAGAAAACAAATTCAGCTTGGTAAAACTGGACTTTTGTCCAGTATTGCCATCTATCCAAGCTGGTGACCTATGCTGGTTTCACAAAATCTGACTACTTCAGTTGCTTAAGAAAACAGTGAAGAAGGCACGCAAGCACACAGAAGTACCTTTTCAAAATCCAGGGAGGACTCTGCAACCTTAGGGATCTGTGGAAAGAGAGAGAGAGCCACAGGAATTCTTTATTCTTAGATAGGGGACACACAAGGGGAGTTTCCATGGAACATTCTATCCAAAAGAGGGCAAAGGGTAGGATTACAAAGGAACAAGGAGGCAGCACACTCCAGTTGGGCAACGCCCAGTCCCAGAGCTGCACCTTTCTATCTGAGCAGAGGCAAGTGCACTTGCATTGCAATAGGGGCAATACCAGTCCAGTACCGCTTTACTCAGAGGTGTGTGCATAGCTCCTGTTTAGGGTGCCCCCCCACAGTCCACAGTATATGTGTGGGAGAAGAGAGATCAGAAAGGAGATAAGTGATAGAAAACTTCCTGAGCCTGGGCCTCTTTGCAGGTGGGAAATGCATTCAAGAATGATAGGACCGACAAGGAACTGAAACTGATTGCCTCAGATCCCAAAGAGACCCATGCCTTCAAGGTGACCAACTACACAGCACTGAATGGGCTGCTGAGGAAACTGCAGCAGAACATCATTCACATGGAAGGTGAGGACCCCAGGGACCCCCAACCTATGGCAGCCTCCCTCAGCACTCAGCAAGAAACCCTGTGTTCTAGCCCAGCTCTGTTCCACTTTCCTGGGGGTACCTCAGACCTCTCCCACACTTCCTGAGCCTCAGGTGTTCATCTCTAAAAAGGCAACAATATCCCCAGCCCTCCTCAACTCCCAGAATCTCCATGAACTGAACTGGTGCTGGAGAAACAAGGATGACTTCCCAGGAACTCACAGAATGGAAACACTGAGGTCCAGAAAGAGGGAGTGAGCTTCCCAAACCACTCAGCTAGTAGTCATTAAAGCAGGACCCAGGTCTCTATTCTCAGTCCCATGCTCTCCCCATTATATTTAACATCATCCTCCTGGGGGTGGGGGTGAGGCCAAGCCAGACCATTCCCTGACATGGTCTCTCCCTTCCCCTGTCACAGCAGTGTCTAACTGGGTTTCTTGTTTTCCAGGCACAGTTGGAGATGCCCTTCACTACCAACTGGCACAGACTGGCTTTAGCGCCCAGATCCTGGATGAGGTTCGTGGCCCTGGGCTTGCCCTTAGATGATGGGCCTCAGCAACACCCAGGGAATTTAGGCTCCCAGCTCACAGTACAAGGCCCTGTGGTAGTGCTGCTGAAGGAGCCATTTAGTATAAAGGTGGACAATTTTGCTCACTCTCCTTCACTGGACTACTGAGATAGACCAAAGGATGGCCATATTTATTACAGGAGATCATTTTTTTGTGTGTGTTCAGGGATTGAATTATTCCCTTTAGACATGCAAATAAACCAAGATTTGGCTAGGTGGGCTAGCCAATCCCTTGCTTACTTCTCCCACAGATAAAAGATGTAGAAATGGTGGGGACACCATCCTCACCCATGGTGGTGGCACAGTTAGCTCATGCAGTTAGCTCATTTCACATCCACTAAACACAGTGGGCCTCCAGTGCCAGGCCCTGGCTGGGCAAACTGAGGAGGATATAAGCACTCTATTGCTCAATCATATTTTGTATTTAATTTAATTGACTTATTTTTGGTAGTGGGGATTGAGCCCAGGGTGCTTTATCCCTAATGCTTTTTATTTTGGGAGGGGGTCTTGCTAAGTTGTGGAGGCTGGCTTCAAACTTGCCTCCACCTCCCAGAGTCACTGGGATTATGGGTATTAGCCGCCATGCCCACCAATCATAACTTTTTAAAAATGCTCAACATCTGGGCCCCTGGGGGGGCTTCTGGAGACACAGCAGCCCTGAAAGAGTCATAGATACAAGGCAGAAACCCAGTATTTGCCATCTTACTTTCCTGCCTGCCTCTCTGGCTAGATTATTGCATGCTACCAGTCCCCCTTGTCCCAGTGAGGAGGTTCACTGCACTGGCCTTTGTGTTCCTCCTGTTAATTTAGTCCCGTCCCTGTTCCTGCAGGGACAGGTGCTGCTTGGAGCCGTGGGGGCCTTTAACTGGTCTGGAGGTGCATTGCTCTACCATACGCAGAGCCGCAGGGGTCGCTTTCTGAATCAGACAGCAGCAAATTCCAATGTTGCGCAATACGGCTACCTGGGTAAGGGCAGGGCCAAGACTAGGACTCTGAGGCGGCACCCTTGTCTACACAGTATGATTCTTGGTCAGGGTGGGGGCGGGCACTAATCGGTTACTTGGGTCACATGGGGTGGGCCCTGTTTAGGGAACCTGAGGTTTAGAAGTGTGGGTTGAGGCAGAGTAGCCTTGGGTGACTGCCTAGGGAAGGACCAGACTGCTCTATGAATAATAGCAGTGGGTGCGCCTCACACCCCTCACCCCTTATGTGTGTGTATGTGTGTGTATCACCTATGTGACCAGTGACTGTTCATAAGTATGCTCGCTGATTGTGAAGGCCTGGCTGGGTAGGTGGGACTCCAGGGATTGGTGGGGACAGCCTGTTTACATTCACTCCCCTGCTCCAGGTTATTCAGTAGCAGTGCTACACAAGACTTGTGGTGTCTTCTATGTGGCCGGGGCTCCACGGTACAAACAGCGTGGGGCTGTGTTTGAGCTCCAGAAGGAGAACAGAGAGGCCACCTTTGTGCCGGTCCTGGAGGGAGAGCAGGTACTTGCTTGGAAAGCCCCCTTCTCCTAGGGAAAGGATGGGCCCAGCTTGCGCAAAGCTCAGGCTCCTGGGTAGGATTCGGTGGCTCTACGTGTCTGCAGGGTGAATCCTCCATTGTTGAGCACTGGGCTACCCACCCAGTCCCCTGTGTTACTATCAAATTAATTTGGAACAACTGCATTTGGGTGATCTGGGAAAAGCATATACAGAAGTCTAGCCTTGCTGAGGGGTGGAGGAGGGACCTCCCCAGCATTTCCCCAGTGCTAAGTTTCTCCTGGGCTATAGATGGGGTCCTACTTTGGATCTGAGCTGTGCCCTGTGGACGTCAACATGGATGGGACCACGGACTTCTTGCTGGTGGCTGCTCCATTTTACCACATCCATAAAGAAGAAGGCAGAGTTTACATGTACCGTCTGCATGAGCAGGTGGGAGGGTCTCCATCTCCATGAGCTTGCTGAGGCTGTGGCTACTCAGCCTGGCAAGAGGTAGCAAAGGCTGGGGAGGCCTGGCTCTGCCTGGTAGCAGTGGGTAGTAATGGGGAGGTGTTCAGAGTAAGTGACTGCCAGCTGGGGCAGCTGCTTTACTCCCCATCCCCTATTTTCACATCCTGATAACATCTCTCATAGTTTCAAGTTGACAGGATCATCCATGATCTCCCTGGTTTCTCACAGAAATTATAGGAAGTAGCTGTCATTCCTATTTTACAGATAAGGAAGCTGAGGCTCAGTGAGCCTCAGTGATGTTGAGACTTGCTCAAGTTATCTAGCAAGTAGGTGGGAGAGTGACTGGAATCCAGGCCTTCCAACTGCCAATCCAGTTCTCCTCTGCATGGGAATAGAAGGAGGCAGACTTGAGGTACTGAACTTCAAAACAGGAGGACCCCAAATTTACCACTGGTTCACTGTGAGATCTTGAGAAGGTCCCTCATTTTTCCAAGTCCAGACTGCTGCTGAAGAATCAGAATCAAGAGGCCCTGTGAGCACCCTGCCAGGTGGCACTGAGGTAGACATCCTTCATTCCTCTCTTGAGGGCTGAGTTACTGGTTTGCTTTGCAGGATGGTTCCTTCTCCTTGGTGTGCACACTGAGTGGGCTTGTTGGATTCACCCATGCCCGCTTTGGCTTTGCCATGGCAACTGTGGGGGATATCAACCAGGATACGTTCACAGATGTGGCCATCGGAGCTCCCTTGGAGGGTTTTGAGGCAGATGATGGTGCCAGCTTTGGCAGTGTGTACATCTACAATGGACACTGGAATGGCCTCTCTGACAAAAAACCACAGGTAACCTGTGGGGCTCTCTCTTGCCTCTTCTCTGGGACTCTGAAGTCCCCCAGTAGGATGACCTGAGCCCTAAATCAGGCCCATTCCTAAGTTCAGGACTGGCCTTGGTGGTTGGGAGTACATAGTGAAGGAGAGAACCCACCCAGGCCAGGTGAAGGAGGCTTCAGACCAGGGCTTCCCCCAGATCCTTTAGATGGAGAGAGATTGAGACACTGTCTACTTCCCTGACTTGTATTTCTTCCTTCTTTGCCTTTTCTGACCATTGGCCTGCTTCAGGTACCTCCCTCCTCTCTGTCCCTCGTCTGGCTCTTGTCCTTCACCCAATTCCTCTCAGGCTCCAGGCTCCACTGCCAGTCAGGCTATATTTTTGATGGGCACTTTCCCCATCTCTAACGGCTTCCTGAGAACCTCACTCTTCATGACCCCCAGGCTTCACTCTCACACACTGTTCAACCAAGGGCTCTCCTGGGTCCTCATACCCCTCCATCCCCATACCAGAAACCTGGCATAATCCCAGGTACTTTGACACTGGTACCTTAGGTGGTAGGGTTAGTCCCTACCTCCTAATGATTCTAGTTCTCTCCCAAATCTAGTTCTTCATTTTCATCCCCATCACCCCAGCCTAGGTCTTATCATCCCTTCCCTGGGCTCAAACCCTAGTAGCTCCTGCCTCCTGCCCATCTCCACCCCATGCCTTTTGTGGTATTTCTAAAATGTAATCCTGATGTCATGTCTTTAAAAAAGCTTTTCTGACACCCCTAGCCCCTTTCCCCCATCCTCCTTCACTGGCCCTTGGCAGCTTCCTGGAAACTGCTCTTTCTGGATCCCTCATTCTTTTCTCTCCATCTCCATTGTTAAGATCCACCTGCTCTTCAAGGAGCCATTCAAATTCCATTTCCCCTAGGAAACCTGGTTCCCTCTTTCCTTTCCTAGATTGAGGACTCCCTGGGGCAGAGAGGTAGTGATGCTGCTGAATGGAATAGAACATGAGAGGACTTCTCCTTTTCTATTCACCTTCTCCATTCTACACCTTGTATTTCTCTCTTCACAGCGGATCAGTGCCTCAGCTATGGCCCCGGGACTCCGCTACTTCGGCACGTCTGTGGCTGGTGGCTTAGATTTTAGTGGCGATGGCCTGGCTGACATCACCGTGGGCACCTTGGGCCGGGCAGTTGTGCTGCGGTAGGGGTCTGCCCTGCCTTCTGGGGTCCCAAGCCCCACCTCAACCATTTGCCCTGTCCTCTTCATTAAGCCCAGACTTGATTGCTGCTCACCGGCATCTCAAAGTGAACACATCCCAAAATGGAGCTCTTATTCTCAAACACTGTTCCCCCAAGTCCACCCCTCCTTCAGGCTTCCAGTCTTAGGGAAGGGCACCATCATTCACACTAAAGTCTAGGACAAAAACCTTGGAGTCACTGTTGATTCCTCTTTTTCTTTCTATCAACAAGCTTGATAGAAACACCTCCTGGTATAAGGTGCTATCATCTCTCACTGCATGGACCACTGTGTGGCGGTCTTCCCTGCTTCCTCTCCCTGTTCTCCATTCTCCAAACAGCAGCTGGTCATCACTTTACTTTGCTGCCTAAGATACTTCAGTGGCTCCCCCCAATTCCTCACCATGGTCTCCAGGGGTCTCTGAGACCCAATCCTGCCCATCCCTCCAATTCCATGTCCCATTATTACCCTCTGTCTCACTAATTATGTACCAGTCATGCTGATCTTTGTGTTTCTCAAATGAATCAGACTCATTTCTGCCACAGGCCTTTTTCACAGTAGCTGTTTTCTGCCTGGCATGTTCTTTTCCCAGATCGTCACTGAGCTGGCTCTTCCTTATTAACAGATCTCCATCTCAATGCCTCCTTATCTGTGAGGCAACCCCTGACCACCTAATCTGAGTAGCCCTTGGTCTCCATCACCTTATCCTGTGTCATTATAGCATTACCAGTATATAATATTTCCTTATTTGTTCCTATTTATTTGCTTGTCTGTTTTCCCACTAGAGCAGGGACTTGTCTCTTTCTCTATTGTACCCTGACTCCAAGCACCCCTGCATAGTAGAGGTATTCATGTGAATGCCCAAATGAGTGCACTGACCCAGAAACCCTAAGGTCACTTCTCACAGTCCTCTCTGCTGTCTTGTTTAGCTCACTACCTGTGGTTCGGCTGAAGGTGTCCATGAACTTTACCCCCAGTGCACTGCCCATTGGCTTCAATGGCAGTGTGAATGTACATCTGTGTTTTGAAATCAGCTCTCTGACCTCAGCTGCTGAGACAGGTAATAGGCAGCAGAGCAGCCCTGGGTTGTTGTGGCCATTCCTTATTGGCTTTTGTGGGGGGCAGGGAAAGAGGACTGTGGGTAGCGGGTTGGTAGGAGGTTCTGATGCTTAAGATCCCGTGCTAGATCTTAGCTCCTGTGACATTAAGTTCTACTAAATGAGAACTGCCCCAGGAAGATCTGATGTTCCATCCATACTCAGAGAAGCTTTACTGACTGGACTGGGGAGAGGGGCATTGCTCTTTTTCTCAGAGATGCTGGTTTGAGTTTCTGAAAGAAGACTCAGAAAGGCAGCTCCATCTCGTTCTTCATCTGCTGCTTTCCCCGGCCTCCTCCCAGTGTGTGTTTGTGTGTGTGTGTGTGCATGTATGTTGTTCATTTGTGTCAGGGGCTCTGAGAAGTGCCCTCCCTCTTCTTCTGAGTTATATCTTCTCCTCTTCCCTCATTGTATCCCGCTGGCCAAAAATAATCTGCTAGAGACCTAGCCTCTCTTCCATCCCCTTATCTGACATTCACTGGGAGATTAATTCTAGAAAGAAAAGGCGGGCATGGTTCCCATAGTCCCTGTGTCTATTGCCAATGCAAGTACTGTTGCCCTCTCAGCAGTAGTCCCCAAGGTTGAAACTCTCAGTAAGAAACTCTGCGATGGCTCCCTGCTCCCTGCAGGTCAGAGAGCAGAATCCTGGATTAGGGCCTCTGATTAAACCTGAGGGTAGAAAATGATAGACCTGTCACTTCCAGGACAGAGCCTGCTGAGGGCTGTGTGCTACTAGGAAGGTATCTTTCCCTCTTTGATCCCTGGTTTCTGTTTTGTACAGTAAAGAAGTTGTTGGCCCAGGGAATCTCTAAGGTGCTTCCAGGCCTGCTATGCTCAGATTTTACTCTGTGATTTCTCCCTCTGTTCTCTATATTCCACCACCTTTTCCCTTCCTCCTCTTCTTCCTCTTCCTCCTCCTCATTTTTTCCCCTTGGTCCCATCCTCCTGGAGAGCCTTCTTCCCTGAGGAAGGCAGACTCAGTCCTAGGAATATGCTGTACCTGGGTATAGGGCTGGAGTGCTGAATGGACCTTCACCAGGTTCCAGGGACAGTGAGAAGAGCATCTTTGAAATAAAGACCCTCAAAGTTGAGCTCCAGGAAATTTGCTGCATGGGATATTGTTCAGGAAGGGTCACAGGATCCTTGGGCAGGCTGGAGGCTCTCTGTCTGGGCCATGTCCATCCCAGCCTCACCAGGAAGATCTGGTCTTCATCCTCAGACCTCAGAGGGACATCGCTTAAATTCACACTGGATGTGGACATGGAAAAGCCGAGAAAGAGGCTGCAGTGTTCTAACTCGAGGGACTGTCTGAGCCACCTCAGGGAGTGGAGCAATCAGTCCCATCTTTGTGAGTCCCTCCAGCTCAACCCCGTGGAGGAAGAGGTAAGTGGAGGAAGTAATATAGACATCTAGAAAGGTCTAGGACACTGAGAAAAGCTTTGAATTAAGTGCAGTGCAGGATATGAACTCATACATATGAGGAAGGCAATTAAAACAATTATAAAAGATCAAGAACCACAAAATGGCATGGGAGACGTAGATAATTATACCAGAAGTCCAAATTTTAAAAATCTGGGTTGGGGATGTAGCTCCATGATAGAGCATGTGTTTTGCATGTATGAGGACCTGGGTTTGATCTCTAGCACTGCAGAAAAGAAAAGAAAAGAAGCTGGACTAAAGGGGGGATGCTCTAATTGGTGGTATTTTTCTTGGTAATAAATTAGGAGTGTTTATTATGTCATCTAACCCTCTTGGTAATAACAGTGGGCTGAAGGCCCTCATATGAGTCAACATCAGAAAAAATTGATTAATTCCAACTTTTGGAATAGAAATAGAAAGTCAGAAATTATCATTCAGAATGATTTTCTCCTTTGCCATAAGAAAATTATATCTTCCATATCTCCAGAGAGATATGGAAGAAAATATTTGTCAGGACTTGGAGCTTAACAGGACCTATAAAGGTAATTTACTCTAATAAACAAACTCATTAATTATGTTTCAGACTACTATCTTCTCCTAAGGTGATTGTTAATTGGTTTAAGAGTTTCTAGCCTAACTATGGTCTTCTTAAATAAAAGCATAACTACCCTTTCCACCAGGGAGTCAAGCTTGTTTCCTCTCGCATGTTCAAAGTCCTTTTCATGGCTAAGAGGTTCATTTAAACAAAAGAATGGCAAATAGTGTCCTCAGCAGTATCCTTATTTTTAGTTTTTACCTAATATGTCCTCTGTGCTGCTCTGGGAAAGATCTATATGTGACCATGACTCTTCCCTCATATGGCTTCCATTTGCTTTCCAAGTAAAGTCTGAGCCAGTTCTTAGTCCCTGGTGGACAGAATCCCTTTGTAACTGGGTGAGAACACTGAGGAGCTATGAGACCTGAGGCCATAGCAGATCAATGAAGATTTTCCCCCCAAGGTCTTAGCAACTTTTTTGAAGGAAGTTTCCCTTCAGACGGGATTATTTGGCAGATACTTAGGACTTCCGACTCACCACTTTCAACGTTTATTTCTTAATGGGTACAGCAAAGTTAAAAGTATTCTCTTTGTCACCTTCTCCAAATCCAAATCTAATCCTGCATTCCTCGGTGTCCCTGCAGCTCTGTGAGGAGGACTGCTTCTCCAACATCAGTGTCAAAATCAACTACCAACTCCAGATACCAGAGGGATGGAAGGGCCACTCCTGCCCCATTCTGGAGTCCCCTCCGGAGCCCTCAACCATTTTCCAGGTGACTCTGCCTACAACAGCTAGGATCCAACCCTACTAGAGGCCAGCCCACAAAAGCACCTGATAGCCTAACTTCAAAGAATGCTAGGTTGGAGGGAGGGTCTTCAGACAGCAGCTGGGTTCCTCACAAATTTGGAAGTGGAGACTAAGATGGTGTTCATTTGCTCAGGGCCTCATTGGTGGGTAACAGGTCTTCAACCCACTTTAAGTTCACAAAAAGCACTCACTACAGATTTAATGAAGCATAGACTACATTAAAATATTGAGATCCTCCCTTGGTAAAGGTTTCCGAGGATGGTGTGGTGGATATTCCTGAGAGAGGTGGATTGGAACTGTCCTGACCTGAGCTGCAAGAGAGGAAGGCCTTTGGTATACTTGCCTATTCAGGCCCTGCCCAGAGCCTTCAGGCTGAACCTCTGGCCCCACCAAACCCCACTGTCTCCCTTGGTGCAGCTAAGAAAAGCAGGTAGTGTCACAGAAACTTTTTTCATGACTAAGAGAAGTCAGAGGAGGCAACAAAGAGTCAAGTTTCCCAATCCTATGAGATCTCACTTAGGCCCTGACTCCCAGGGTGCTCTGCCAATTTCCATTTAGAGAATTTAGGAGAATCTGCAGGGATAGAGAAATGTCAAGGTGAACATTAAAAAATAATAGTTATCATCAGTTGGGGTGAATTAAGCCTTCAAAAACAAGTCAAAATTAGTTCATGCAGGTACAGAAATCTTCAGGCAATGAGGAATATATCCACGTTAATCATAGGGCACTCATGGCTGTCCAGTATTTTGAACAAAACATGCTCTGTGTTAATTAAATCATATAGATTTTTAGCTCTGCTTTTTATCAATACCTAACATATCAGTCATGAGGAATGATAGAAATAGGAAAAGTAACATAATCTGGTGACCATTCCTATTGCTCATCTGCCCAGGAAGAGAGATTCCCTATGAGCAAGATTGTCTTCTTAACTTTTTAGGCAAAGGGACTTTATTTTAAATTTATAAAAGTGTACTTATTTTTTGTAGAATTTTAAAAATTTGGTATTGGCAATAAATTAGATGATTCAGAAAAGACTGAGAGAGCTAATGTAATAGAGTTTTGGTGATAAGTATATTACCATTAATTAGGGTAACTAATTTTGAAATATTCAACCTACCAGAAAATTACAAGAATAGTTCAGAGCCAGATATGATGGCATGTACCTGTTGTCCCAGATATTTGGGAAGCTGAAGTGGAAGGATTGCTTGAGCTCAGGGGGTTCATGGCCAGCTGGGCAACATGGCAAGACAGATTTAAACCAAAACAAAATGAATATCCCTGAGCATTATTCATTGAGAATAAGTTACAGATATGTTATCTCATTATCATGAATGCTTTAGTATATATTTACTAAAAAACAAGGGCATTGTTTTTAGATAGCACAGTACAAGGATCAAAATCAGGAAATTACTGATAAAATATTATGATCACTATAATTACAAATGTATTCAAATTTTCCAGTTGACCTATTAATGTCCTTTGTAGCAAAAGGAAAAAAGTTCTGGTCTAAGATCATTTATTGCATTTTTGTCATTTATCTTCATCTCTTTTAATGTGGAACAATTTATCTGCCTTCTCTTGTCTTTAATTAACTTAACCATTTTGAAGGGTACAGGCCAGTCATTTTATAGACTGTTCCTTAGTTTGTGTTTGTTTGATGTTCCCCCATAGTTTGATTCAGGTCAAATGTGTCTTTGGTAGGAATATCACAGGAGTAAAGTATGTCCTTAGAATATCACATCAGGAGGCATGTAATGTTGATTAGTTCCATTACTAGTGCTATTTGCCTTTGTAATTGATAAATATTTATGGTGAGATGCTTTGAGATTATGTACATATCTGCTTAACATCTATTTATCAGTCTTACCTTAGTCATTGCTATGATGGTTTGGGAAAGACATTAAATTTTTTTTTATTCCATCTATAAAAAGAATAAGGAAAAATTTTCTGGTGCAGGCACATAAATGTTGCCAGAGAATGAGTTCTATCTGGGTTTAACCCTGTTCCCTTTCACTGAGGTTGGATGAAAGAGAACAGGCCACTTGGCTATATAAAAAACAAAACAAAAGAACCCTGCATAAAACTGTTGACCCAGTTAGATAGAGCTCCACGCTCTGACTTTTGTAAATTGCATTTCCCTTCTCCAGGAAGTAGAAAGTCTCCTTTCAAGCTCTGGGCTCCCATTCCCACCCCACACCATGGTAACAGTCTGGCAGAAGTCTGCTGTGATGATTGCTGGCTGCTGGGGACATAAATGCAGAGACTCCCCCAGCTAAGGAGCTGGCTGTGCTTCCTTCATTACAAAAAATAGACCCCGCTACTTTGGAAAATTTTATCTTTCAACTCAAACTGGGGCTTTTTAACCTTGAAGGGTTCTTTTGAACCAAATGTGACTTCCTGAATTAGTTTGTGATGTGTAGGCAAGCTTGCTAGGGAAATAGCTAGTTTACAGAGAAGACCAGCTGTAGGGGAGAGAACCTTTCCAAGAATTGGACCTGGCATTACTTGATTAGGTGGCCCCATTCCTGCCCTGGCTTCTCCTGCCTACATTTGGAAAGGCTAAGGAAGCTTTCCTTCACAGATGTTTCTCTTCCCAAATGTTTCAAATAGTGAGCTGCTTGAGAGTGTTGCTGCTTCATTCACGTGATATGAATGTGATGGGCACACCCACCATTCCAAAAGGTCATCCCATTTTTTACCTTGGCCAGAGGCCTGGATCATGATGTGCCTGTGTTACAGGCTAGATCCAGGGATATCAGTCACAACTCTATGGGCACAATCCCAGCTAGCGAACCTTTACCTCTCTCTAATTGTACTTTTCAGAGTAAGCAGGAAGGGCAGGTCCAAGCTTCTTAAGGAGATGATCGTGAAGCAGGGCTGCCAGGGAAGGCAGGGCCCCTTCCCCACTGATCCTGCCCCTCTCTGTCTGCCTACAGCTGCCCTATGAGAAGAATTGCAAGAATAAACTGTTTTGCATCGTTGAATTGCAGTTGGTCACCAGCATCTCTCAGTGAGTTGGATCCAGTTGTCATAGTTTCTGCAGTTAACTTCCTTTTAAAGATTTACCTGGACAAACTCCTCATGGGGATCCATGGCACACTTCTTACTCCTTCCCCCAAAGGTCTTTACATTGATTGTTCAGTCACCATATGAAAGAGACAAGACAGAGATTTGTGTTTTTGTTTTATAGATCAGGAAACAGACTTTTAGTAACTGAGAGCCTTGGTCATTTGGTGAACTTGAACCCAGGTCTCTTAACATCCTGGATGATGCTATGTTCATAACTCAATATACCCCATTACTAGGGCTACTTTGGCTAGAGGTAACTTCTTTCCTGGTTCACCTCTTGACCAAATTCATTAATTGATTCAATAAGTATTTCTGGAGTGTCTACTCTGTGATATGCATTCTAGGCACTGGGAAACCTTACAACACAGGCAAAAATCCCTACGCTCCTGATGCTTTTAGGGGGAGAATAATTAAGTAAACTCTTAAGTTGATGGTATGTACTATGAAGAAAAATAATGCAGGGAGTGCTGGGTGGGGGTTGGGCTTCAGTTTTAATTAGGGTAGTCAGGGAGGGTGGTATTTGGCACTTATAGGAGGAGGAGGTGGGGGAATGAGCTATGTGAGTGCCTGGGAGTAGAGCAACTGCCAGTGCCCTGAGATGGGAGCATGCTCAGCAGGTGGAAGGTAGGACAAGGGCTTGGTGTGATTATAGTGAGGTATGGAAGTGGGATTGGGGAAATGTAAAGGGGTAGGGAGGATCAGTGGGGCTTTTAGGTCCTCAGAAGGGCTTTCACTGTAAACTGGGAGGCCAGAGGAGTTTATGTGTTTGTGTGTGTGTGTATATGTATGTATGTGTATATATATATAATACACATATATACATATATATGTAATATGTAATATATTACATATATAAATATATATGTATATATACATATATTTTGTGTATGTGCATAATGTAATTTAATCAATTTCATTTTTTCCTTTACCTCCCCTTTCCCTTTCTGCCTCCCTCCCCACCTCCCTCCTGATGGTTTCCTTTTTTTATTGGTTTCCCTTTTAATTTCATGAGATTCCACTCACCTTTTTTTTCTTCCTTTTTTCTCTTTAGCTTGCACATATGAGAGAAAACATAGGACCCTTGACTTTCTTAGTCTGGTTTATTTTGCCATTAGATTAAGCTTATTTTGCTTAACATAATGCTCTCAAGTTCCACCCATTTTCTTACAAATAACATAATTTCAATTCTTCTTTATGTCTGAATAAAACTCCATTGTGTATATATTACCACATTTCTTTATCTATTCATCTGTCGATAGGCACCTAGGCTGGTTCCACAACTTGGCTATTATGAATCGTGCTGCTATAAACATGGGTGTGTGTTAACATTATAATTAACATAATTCTTGCTTATATGTTAAGAATGGACTGGGGAACCAAAGGAGGAAGCAGGGAGACAATAAGTAAGTACTACTGTAATAATGCAGTTGATAGATGAGGGTGGCTTGCACCCAGGTGATAGCAGAGAAAGTGAGAACATTTGCTGTCAGAGTGGATGTGGGGAGTGAAGAAGAGTAGTCACAGCCTGAGCATCTAGAACTATACCATCTAACATCGTAGCCACTAGTCCCATTGGGTATTTAAATTTAAATTCATGTCCTCCCTGGTTACTAGTGCTGTGTGTGTATCATGATACTGACAGTCAGTTGGCTGGAGGTGGAATCTGTGGGTGGAATCTGTAGGGAAGAATGGTGTTCCTTGAGTCCTGGAAAGCCCCTCATAGACAGTTGTAGTTCTTGAATTTCAGATGTGGACAGCTTAGTGCTGCCCATCACTAAGGACCCAATTCAAGATTTTGGAGTGCTTTGGAATCTGGCCCAACAAGCAGACACAGCTGTTTTCAACAGGGAATTATTTACAGCCAAGAACCATCCACTCAGCCAATTCCTTGTGAAACAGATAAAGCATGCATAGCTTGCCTTGCATCACCCCCTAGCGAAGAAGTCAAGCAATTGCTTCTATTTCAAAAGTTGCTGAGTCTGTCTCAGTGGTTTTGACCTTTCTGCAGACATAGACTCTCAAAAAAATAAAAATAAAAATAAATAAATAAATAAAAATCTAATGAAAACTATGGACCCCTCTCCCTAGAAATCTACATGTTCATACATAAATAGTTTCTGGGCCCTCAGAAACTATTTCTGGAACTCAGGTTAAGAAACACTATTAAATATCCTAGATGGTTCTTGGCTGTAATTAATTCCCTGTTGAAAACAGTTGTCTGCTTTTTGGGCCGGATTCCAAAGCACTCCAAAGTCTTGACTCCTAGAGCTCTCTTATGGACTATAGAACAGTATGTTTGACTAATAATCAGCACCTCTACCTTTAATCCTATAGGCACCTCTTCTCATAACTGAACTCATCTTCCTCCATCCTACTTCCTCTTGTGTTCTCTCCCTCAGAGGGTAACATCACTTGGCCAGCCAAGCTGTAAATTTAGAATTCACCCTTGACTACCTCTCTGCTTCCCTTATCTTCTTTGACTCCTCTCTTCCCTTTTTCTGCTTCCAATACTATTGTCTTATTTCAGGCATTTATCACTTGATGGATAAATTTCCACAGCAGATTCTAACTGTCTCTGACTCCTGTCTTTCCCTCCAATCAATCCACATCTTCTCAGCTGTGATAAAATTAAAAACAGAACCAAATAAGAACAACAAAACATATGTTGCATCACTTACCAGACCTGTCTATTCCACCTTTGGACATTTTACATGGTTAAAAAGTGTTTTTGTATGTTACTATATGTCTAGTCAATCTCAATTAAGTTAAAAAGTGTTTTTGTATGTTACTATATGTCTAGTCAATCTCAATTACTGAGGTTGTTCGGCAGTCTGGACCTCAAAGGTAGAGTTATGTGTGTCCTGCTTTCCAGTGCTGAGCAGATCTGTAAATAATTGGGGAATGGATGAATGTGTGCCATGGAGTGCCTTGCCTAGGGTCAAAATGAATTAATTGGTGGTAGAAAGAGGATTTGGATTTGATTTTCCCTACTTCTCTTTGAAGGCTGCTAGACCTCAGGCCAAGTGGCCTCTTTGGGCTTCTGTTTCCTTTTCTACAAAATAGAGTAATTGTGCCATTTCACAGGGTTTTTATGAGGATTAATTAAGCATGTGAAACACAGTCCTTGGCACATGGTAAGTAGTAGGCATTATAATCTCACCCAGCAACGAAAATAAGTGTGGCAGTCCAAGTTATGTTGAGGGGATGAAAATCTAGGCTAAATGGCAGTTTTTCTGAGAAGGTAGTTAAGGATGTGCTGTCCTATTGCATCCAAGTTTGTACAGATTAAATAAACTGGCAACATTTTTATCTTTGCCTGTGCAGGCAGGAATTGGTGGTGGGTCTCACCAAGGAGCTGGCCATGAACATTAGCCTAACTAACTCTGGGGAAGATTCCTATATGACAAGGATGGTTTTGAATTATCCCAGAAACTTACAGTTTAAGAGGATACAAAAGGTAACTATAACAGCAGCTTCAGAAACATGCCACTAGATCATTTCCCTTGTCATACACCTGCTTTTCTCTTGCAACGTCCTTACTAGTCTCCCTGCCTCCAGCTTCCTTCTGGTCCATCCAATAATTGATTAGTAACTAGGTGAGTCTTACCCCACCCAATTGTACTAGATTCTTTCTTTGCTTTAAATACCATCAGGGCCTCCATTTTGCTGCACAATTAGCCCTCTCTGCTTGCAGCCTTTCTTAACCAGTATTTATCTTTGAGAGATAAATACCCTAAGGCATTGAGAAAGTAAAAATTAGCTTGGGCTAGGAAAATGAAATTCTGCCCAGCCCTTCACCAAGCTGGGATCACAGATACAAAGCCAGGTACAAAGATACTAGGAAATATTCTTTCTCCCAAGGACACCTACAACTATGAATTATCACAGCACTGAGAAATTTTATTCTCTAAACTTACAGATGGCCAGAAACTTTGCTGTTTGAAATTTAATCAATAACTGTGAAACCATCTTGCTCTTGCCTGGAAGACCTAAGTCATTTAGGGGGAGGGGTCCTGGAGATTGAACTCAAGGGCACTTGACCCCTGAGCCACATCCCCAGCCCTATTTTGTATTTTATTTAGAGAAAGTGTCTCAATGAGTTGCTTAGTGCCTTGCTTTTGCTGAGGCTGGCTTTGAACTTGTAATCCTCCTGCTTCAGCCTCCTGAGCCACTAGGATTATAGGTGTGTGCCACCACGCCCATCAATCTAAATCATTTTGACAAAGAGCAGTTTCAATTTCTATCTGAGATATAGAGCTTCAGATAAAGTATTTTTGGACACAGCTTTTACATCTATATTAATTTACTCATTTCCAAGGAAGTGGTCAAGTCCAAACCCATTGTTGATTGACCCTTTAACTCCGCTTTGATTTGCTTTGAGGCTATCAAAACTGATTTATTTACATTTACTTGAACTCCATCCATCCTCTGTCTTTTCCTTTGTTGGGTGACATATACCACAGTGTAATTTTGTTCACTGTTGGAACTATGGGTTTTCTCCACTCTTAGGCTATTTGGCAAGGATGGCATCCAGTATATGAAAAATTAAAATTCTCTCTTATGCACCTAGAATGGATCTAGTGATATACTATTTGTGGGAGAATTGTTTTCTGTACTCAGTAGTCCAGATGAGGAACCATGGTTGAAAGGCTACATGGCAGTGCTTGAGCCCATGCTGGCCTTCCTCTCCCACCCGCCTACCCCTCTTTCTCCTCCCAGATCCACAGAGCTAGAGCTGCTGCCACAGCTGCAGTCACAGTTGCAGGCACTGTGGCATCTGGGGTTACATCGAATGATGAAATTATCAAAATTTTTAAAATCTTTTACACGAGATCAAAAAAAGAAAGAAAGCAGTGACATTTACATTGGTCCACAGCCCAGTTCATATTATCTCCTTCCTTGTGAGGATAGAGTCCTCCTAGTTGGAATTCATCTTTTCTTTTGCTGTTCTCTGCCTCACTTGCAGAACCAACCCTTAGACCTTTGATTTAAATTTCTTAACTCTACTGCTGAGCCTACCAGTCCTGCTTGTGAGAAAAATAGACCAAGTCTGACTTATTTTGTTATAGCTCCTGGCTGGGTTAATTTTTACTCCTTAAGAAGTATTTCTTTCTGTATTCACAGCCTTCTTCTCCAAACATTCAGTGTGATGACCCTAAGCCATCTGCTTTTGCCCTGGTCATGAGCTGCAAGATTGGTCACCCCATATTCAAGAGGTCATCTGTGAGTCTTATTTTTTTTTTAATTATTATTATTTTTTTTTTTAAAGAGAGAGAGAGAATTTTAATATTTATTTTTTAGTTATCGGCGGACACAACATCTTTGTTTGTATGTGGTGCTGAGGATCGAACCCGGGCCGCACGCATGCCAGGCGAGCGCGCTACCGCTTGAGCCACATCCCCAGCCCTTTTTTTAATTATTGATGGACCTTTATTTATTTGTTTATATGTGGTGCTGAGAACTGAACCCAGTGCCTCACACATGCTAGGCAAGGGCTGTACCACTGAGCCACAACCCCAGCCCCCTATGAGTCTGTTTTGATTGGTTGGCTCTTTGCACAACTCTGGAGTTGGTGATGTTTACATCTCAGCTATATTTGAACCTCTCAGTTGTGGTCTCTATGCTTCTCTTTACTGTACAGTCAATCTGTAGCAGGGCTTACATCTGCTAAGCTTGCTTTGAAAGGAGTCAGTCAAAGACAGTGTTGATTAATCCCAGGAAAAGTGTGAAGTTGGGGGGTAGTACGGAAGGGACATCAGACTATATTATTATTGATACTGGGGATTGAACCCCGGGTTGGGGGGGTGCTTAACCACTGAGCCACATCCTCAGTACTTTTTTAATATTTTATTGAGACAGGGTCTGGCTAAGTGGCTTAGGGTCTTGCCAAATTGCTGAGGCTGGCTTTGAACTCGCCATCCTTTTGCCTCAGCCTTCCCAGCCTCTGAGATTACAGGCGTGCAATACCCCGAATGGCAGTAGAGATTATTTTTGTGCCATGGGAAATCTCAACTGTAGAAGGGGAATAGGGTAATGCTGCCTGCTCTGCTTACTCTATATTTGCATGGAAGGCTTATATAAAATAATGGATGGAGAGGTACACTGTGCTACAAAAATGTAAGAAATTTAAATTGTTTCCTAGGTTGGTTTGTAGTAGGCAGTTAGAATTGAGAATGGTACAGACAAGAATCAAGTGACCATTTTTCCCCCTTTAAAATATTAGGCAAACATTTCAGTAGTTTGGCAGCTAGAGGAGAATGCCTTTCCAAACGAGACAGCAGACATCACTGTGACCATCTCCAAGTAAGTAGTGCCTGTATCAAGCATATTGAGGCTATGGCCTTGAGGGAATCTCCCTCCCATGTGCATGCTGTGAGAACTGTGACTTCCTTACTGCCAAGGGAGGAGGGGAACCTTAATGAACCCACAGAGGCCTCTGTCCCCCCCATAGTGATTCGGTTATTATTATTATTTTTAATCAAAGCTATTTAAAGTGTTCTTTTCTTCTCACAAAGTAAAACTATGACATAGTCTGGTGGAATAAACTTTGGACTCAAGTTCTAGTTCTGATTTATTTAACTTTGGAATAACTATTATCTGCAAAGCCTCTAGGTTTAGGGGCAGCATGAAGTATGGTGTTGGGAAGGGGTGATTCTGCTTCCCAGAGGTAATGCCTGGAGATATTTTTGATTGCTATGACTTAGGAGGTGCTACTGGTATCTAATGTTGTCCTATACATTATACCATGTATAGGACAACACAACAAAAAATTACCTGGCCCAAAATGTCAACAGTATTGATGCTGAGAAATCCTTTTAAAATCAACATTACTCTTAAGTATGATTCGTTTGCATTCTAATTATTTATCTCTAAGAAGCTTTTTTTACCTGATACCCCCACCTTTGTACCCTGACACTGGGAAGCCAGGATACAAAGAAGTTGTGCTGTGAACTAACAGTCTTATTCTCAGTTCCAACCAAAGGTCTTTGGCCAGAAAAACCCACAACCTTCGATTCAGACATGCCTTCATTGCAGTTCTCTCCAAGTAAGTACTCCATGGGGCTAACACCTGTGTGGCTGCCCACAGCGCACAGCTTCAGGCATTCTCTCTTGTGAATGGAACTGGTAATCAGGGTGGATGTGAACATTGTGTTTCTCTGAGATGAATGAAGCTGCTTAGAACCTAGGCTCTAGCACTGATCTCTCTGGTACTCACAGTTGGGTTCTAAAAACCCTATGGTGGTCATCAAAGAAGGAGCAGTGCCAGCTGGTCTTACTACAAAAGGGAACTGAGGGTAGGAACTCTGGAGGAAAGACAGGGGCTGTGGTATTGGGAAGCAAAAAGGGCAAAAAGTAAGGCTAATCTGAGGAGCTGTAATTAGAAAATGAACCAGCTCAACTATACAGAATGCAAATATTCTACCTCCTCTCAACTACCCTATGACCACTTTACATTTTGATATTTACCTTGGATTCCTCTTAAGGATCTGGTGCCCTCTGTCATAGTGTATCCTATTGAAAACATTCAAGTTCATTCAAAGTTAAAAGGGGACTCTGAGGTCTAACAAGTCCTCTCAATTGCAGGCCATCTGTGATGTACATGAACACAAGCCAGGGGCTTTCTGACCACAAAGAATTCCTCTTCAGTGTAAGTGCTTAGTGTTTATTGCAAAGCTACAGGTGGCAAAGCAACCTAAGCTTTGACTTCCTATTCTGATTTTCTTTGGCAGATACATGGGGAAAATCTCTTTGGAGCCAAATTCCTGTTGCAAATTTGCATCCCAATCAAATTGCAAGGTCTCCAGATTGTAAGAGTGAAGAATGTGACAAAAACCCAGGTATTCACAGGCAGTTCTTATCACATTTCTTTCCAGAGTGACTATGGATTCTCAAAGATATAAAAACTAGGAGCCTTAGGAGTAAAGTTAGATCTTGTTTAATCTAGTAAAACAAGATTAGCCACAGGAAAAGATTAGGAGTGAATTACCAGTTATGTTCAGAAGGAATATCAAGTACTCAGGCCTTAAAGCAGCATTTCAATTTTCCTCTCCTTGAAGAAAAATAAGCAAAAATTCAAACATTTTTGTAGCCATGGAGACATTTATTTTCCTTTTGAAAATTGATAAACTCTGCCTCTGCTTCTATGTGATTGGTGAGTGAGACTGATAAATGTGACATTTCTCACACTGCCCCCTACAAACCATCTGTCTTCATTTTCCTTCCCTCCACTCCCTCTTGGTCTTTGCTTTGCTATATAGCCTCTTTGTTTTTATTTGACCTCTTATCTGTAATGTGGTTCTCAACACCAGGCTTATTACTTAAAGGAACAGGCTCTGATCACTCTAACAGCTGTTACCTAGGCTTTCTTGATTTTTTGTTTGTTTTTTTGGTTCAGATTATATAACAATTTCAAGGCTCAAAAATGAAAATGTGGAATTTACAGAATGGACTCTGCTGACAATTAGAAACAGGACTTATAAGTTGTAAATACTTGTTCTTACATGTAATTTAAGAATATTTGTTAACAGCAAGTTTAATCAGTTCAACAAATATTTCAGTTTCCACTTGAAAACAAAATTCTTGCTTGAAAAGTTGACTGGAAACATATAAGAATGGAATTCTACTTTACCCTGCTCTGGGATGGAGATTGAAAACAGGACCGAAGGCATTAAGACCAGGGCTCTCTCAGTTTGGGACAGTAAGACACATTCAGCTCACTTAAATAGACTGTGTTGGCAGAGCAGGTCAGTGGCGGAGGTGAAGTTCAACACTGTCCTATGGAAATGCTGGATCTTTCTCTTCATTTGCTTCATGGCAGTGGTGTTACATTTAGTCTTAAAGGTCATTTCATTCAGAATCTTGTCTGTGAGGTAATGTAGCCAGAGCACATTGTTATAAGGGTGATATTCACCCCAGCAGTTGTTGTTCTCCTTCCTCATGAGCCTGTAAATCTCATACTGGTAGTCACCTTCACCTGTAAATAGTTCTTCATCCATGGAAATGTCACAGAAAACCACAATCCCATCCCGCTCCAAGCGTGACAGGGTGTAGTCAATGATATTGACTTGCAACCCGCGGGTAGGAATGGTGCCTGTCTTTCCATTGAGGGTGTAGCGGAGCTCCTTGTGGCTGGTCTTCTTTAACAGCACATTCCCCCAGTGTAAGTCTCGGTGCTCAAAACGCAGTGATGCTTCTGCCACTGCAAGGGATGCTGTAATCTGGTGTATGATGCTCTTTGCTGTAGCCACAGAGGACAACTTTGTTTTCATTTGCTCTAGGTCGATCCCACCAAACTCAAATTCTAGTACAATGAAGAGCTGATTTTCCTCAAAATAGTCAGGCCGGTCATTTGCAGACTTTTTGGTTGAGTTATAGTGATCCCAGGCTTTGAGGAGCAAGAGAGGGTAAGACCCTTGAACACAGTGCACTGAGTTCAGCCCAATAAAGCCTTCTGTGCGGTTGTACGCCTCATCAGATAAGAGGCTTAACTCTTTAGAGATGATGATCTCTGGCAGGATTTCCTCAAAGGTTTTCTGATGGGATCCATTGACTAAATCTGATCCTTCAATAGCAATGATTTTTAGGGCTACAGGTTTCCTATCAACAATCATTTGAAACACTTCACCAAACACCCCTTCCCCAATTTTCTCACAGCGTTCCAGTTTTTCTGTGGAAAGGTAATGGCTAAAGGGGATAGGTCCTTCCTGACCGCATTCCCAAAAAACTTTTTCAGCCTCAGAGGCCTTTTTGTCGGCAACACGTACAATGTTTAAAGGGCTTAGCAAGTGCAAAGAAGAGGAGTGCCGTGGGGACAGAGCAGTATTTGTTGTGTTTAAGACAGGAGGGTTTGAATATTCTGATACAAAAGACCTAGAGGGAGAACTGGAAATGGTATAGATGCTGCTTACCTCTGACACATCAGTCACAATTTTCTTCTTGTGGAAATTGAAGGAGGCCCTGATTTTGGTCCAAGAACAGGACTTTGGTAAATGAGTCAGGTCCCGAGATAGGAATGAATCTTTTCCCATCTTTTGGCTCTTTTTAAATCGGTGGTGATGGAGAGGAGAGGTTTCCCCTGCTTCCTGATGTTTCCTCTTTTGCCTTGGCCTAGTCCTCTTAGGCCTGTTGATTTTCCTAGGTGTGATATGGCCTCTGCAACCAGTGGCTTCTTCAGAGTCTATCAGGGTGGCCCTTTGAGACCCTCTCTTTTGAGATGAGTCTCTGCCTGTGACCCTCTTTTTACCTGTGCCCTCCAGTCTGTTTCCCATCACTTTCCTTTTACAACAAGACTCCGTGTTTTTTCTGTGTCCCCCACACTCACGATCCACTGGATATCTCGAGTCCATAAGGCTAGAGAGAGCAGACGTGAGGCTGGTATGAGCTCGGTGGACCATACTAGTGAACGAGATTCCTTCTGTTGCTGTTTCCTGGGAGCGTGGGGGAGATGCTAGGTTCAGGGAGGCTGATGGCAAGTGGAAACCACTTGAGTTTGCAGAGGTTGCATCTGAAGAGGCAGGAGGACCGGTGGAGATGATACTATCCCCTGGCGCTGGCGGTCCGGGGCCAGACGAGGGCCGGGGGCTGATCAGGGAGGCACTGAGGCCCAGCTCTTCGTGGTCCTTGGGCTGGCTGCGTTCACTGAAGTCGGGGCTGAGACGGCCCCCGCGGCTGCTGGGGAAGGGCGGCTGTCGGAGCTGCCAGTAGGGGGTGCTGCACTTCAGCGGAGGCCGTGCTCTCAGCCTCAGGCGTCTTGGGGTCGCGATCAGGGTGGGCTGCTCCTTGGAGACTCCGCCGCCAGGACGCCTCCGCCGTCGGCGGATGGGGCTGCCGGGGAAGTCCGGGTCGTCAGAGTCGTCGGAAGCCTCAGACTGCGACGGGCTACCGCTGCTGGTGTCGCTGCTGGCGCTGCTGAAGATACCGTTCCGGTTCTGCGGTGGAAACCACTGCGCCGCTGCCCGGCCCGGCCGCCGTCGCGGCCCCCCGCCACCGGCTGCCCCGTACGTTCGGAAGAGTCGGATCTCAGATCTCCGGAGTGACGCCGCCATGGCAGACACCCGCCAAGCAGTTTAAATGCAAACACCGCGAGACTTCCGCGTGGTGCGCTCGCCTGCCCTTTGGGTCCTAGTGCCCGGCGGCACGAGTGCGCATCACACCGGGCCTTACTGGAGTGAGGGGGTAGGTAACCGTGGAGCATTGGTTTGTTGAGTGCGCCCCTGGAATGGCTTTCGTTTCAGGCTTACACTGGGTGCACCGAGAATCAGCCCGCTTGTGTGAGCGATCCATTTCAGGTGAGCGTGGTTTCCCGGAGAGGGAGGGATTGAAGCACGTGATAGGGAGAAGCCAGGATGCTACTTTTCCAAGATTCCTCCTGAAAGCAATGCACGGCGGCGGTCAGGGCCCTCCTCCCTCCCCTCACTGAGTTTGCCAGGGTTGGTGCTTTACTTGAGTCAAAGTGAGCGCTCAAACTGCTCACACCCCCTGTTCTGGGACCTTGAAATATTCTGGACCTGAGTGTTAAAAATTTCACCCTTCCCACGCGTAAAGGGATTAGGCTAATGAGATTCTTTTTGCAGCGTGTGGACGAATGGTATTCAGTGAGCTGTAATATCACATCAGATAAAGAGAATGTAACTGTGGCTGCAGAGATATCCTTGAGTCACGCCGAGCAGGTATTTTGAGACCAAAATTCTCCAGATCTGATTATCCAGCTCTAGGCCATCTCCCTTAGAAACTGTAATGGCATTTACATGTCCAGAACAGCACCCCCCCTCCACTTTTTAATCTTTATTTATTTTAATGTGTGTGTGTGTGTGTGTGTGTGTTTTAGTTGTAGATAGACATAATACCTTTATTTTATTTTATGTGGTGCTGAGGATCGAACGCAGTGTCTTTACGCGTCCCAGGGGAGCACTCTACCACCGAGCCCCAGCCCCAGCCCTCTTTATTTATTTTTTTATGTGGTGCTGAGGGTCGAACCCAGTGCCTCGACACACGCTAGTCAAGCTTCCTACCGCTGAGCTACAACCACAGCCCAAGAACAGGCCTCTTGATGACTTTCTGTCCCAGCCTGCTCCTTAGCCAGTTACTCAGGCTATTCTTTTTTTTTTTTTTTTTTGTGGGGCCAGGGATTGAACCAGGGTCTTGTGCATTCTAGGCAAGCACTCTACCAACTGAGCTATATCCCCAGCCCCCTTGGCTATTCTTAATCCTGTTTCATACTAGGAATTCTAGGAATTATCTGTGACTTGCTCCTTTCCTATACCTCATATCCATTCCACCAACAAACTCTATTTCACTTCCAGCATATATCCTAAATTAATTTACTTTCTCCATCTCTACAGCTACTGTCACTTGCTGGGGCAATTGCAGTAACTTTGGACTTGTTCTCCTTGCCTCTGCTTTTCCCACACCTATAAATAATTCACTTAACCACTATCCATCCACATTAGATTGTGCTTAAAAAAAAAAGTGAAGTTTGAACACCCTTAGATTCTGATCCATACCTCCCCCCCACCTCCATGGCCTGCAAGGTACATGGTCTGGTCTTGGCTAATTTTTCAACTTTCTCTCCTAGTACTCTCTTTTCTCTCCTGCTGTCCCTTTCTTATAACCCAGCTATTCTGTCCTTTCAAATTTGCCAATATTACTATGGTTACAGGACCTTTGTACTTGCTATTTCTTTGCATAACATTGCTCTTCTGCTAAGTTCATGTGGGTGGTTTCTTCTTGTATTTAATATAGATGTTACTTTCTTAGAGAGGCCTTCCCTGATCACTTATTCTGATGTGGGAACTAGTAATCAAGTTTAATATCTTGTAGTGATCCAGATGAGAGCAGTGAGGTATAAACTGAAGAACTGAAAATGGGGGTGGAGAAAAAAAGGAATATATGCAAGAGAGAATTAAAAAAAATTGTTAACTGACTTTGGCTAGGAATAGTGGCATGAGATAGAGGGTAAAGGAAAAGAATTTAAGGATTAATTGCAGATTTCTTGTTTGGTAACCGAATGGATGCTGGGGACATTAATGAGACTAAAGAGTACTGGAGATGGTTCACATTTAAAGGGAAAGGTGGTGAATGCTGTTCAGAAACAAGGAATCCATGCTTAATATGTTTTGTTTCTCTTCTTCCTCCCCCTCATCTAATAGTTACTAAGAGATGTAACTGAACTGCAGATTTTTGGTGAAATATCTTTCAACAAATCTCTATATGAGGGGCTGAATGCAGAGAACCACAGAACTAAGGTAATCCCTGGCTGTTCTCTGGGTAGGAGAACTGTGTGTAGCTTTTGAGTCCTTGCACAGCCACTCCCTTGTTACTCTCTTCCTATTTTCAGTTTTATCACTTCTGTTCTTGGCTCTGCTACTAATGCTGTCTTTGTGATCTTGAATGAATCTGCTTCTGCCTCAATTTTACCTATCAAATAAGGAATTGAGTAAAAAGGCCTAAGCTGAGGAAGTCTAAGTTGAAATAACTAGCTTAGATCCAACAGCAATGTATACTTTGATTTAAAAATGTTTGCTGCAACCAGCATGGCATTAATTCAGAAACCTGAGGGGTGATGGGGAATGAAAAAAAAGACAAACACATAGAAAAAAAGCTAGGGCCAGGTGCCTGGGGCCTGGTAAGGCTTGACTGACATCAGAGCTAGCTAAGCACATTTATTATATAGTTTTTCTCAACAGAAGTTTGTTTGTGTGAAAGTTTTAGCAAAGCAGGCAGCCTGAAGGATGCAGCGAAACTTGCTCAACATCAAGGTTATGTCTAGAATTTTCTCTACCCCTGGGAGTTGGTGTCTGAATCCAAGATTCTAACTGATAGAGCTGTGCACCTTTGCACAAAGCCTCCTTGGGTGGGCATCACCATAGCAACTAGGCCATCTTGGCCTGTACCTTTGCACAGGAATTTCCAAGCACAGATGCAGCCATGAGGGAATCAGGGACCATGGTTTGGGTCACTGCTCTCCACATACATTGACTTTAAAAAATTTTTTTCCTGAGAAATTATTCTTTGCATATATAAACTGTCTTTCTACTGTGTATATCAGTGTTTAGTTATAGTATTAAATAGTTACAGTACTCATGAATGCATAATTTAAAAAAAAAATTTTTTAGATGTTGATGGACCATTATTGTATTCATTTATTAATATGCTGTGGTGAGACTTGAACCCAGAGCCTCACACAAGCTAGGCAAGTGCTCTACTACTGAGCCACAACCCCAGCCCCTGCATAATTTTTAAAATAAGACTTAGATTCAGTACTGGAACTCTTGGAATTTGATTTTCAGAAGTATGACCAGAAATTAAATTGACCTCTGTGGTCAGTGGGTTAAGTAATCTTGTGTGTGTTACAGTGCATTAAAAAAAAAAAATCATAGTATTTATTTAATTGTCATCATTTATTGACCTATTTTACTGGCTAGGGCTTTAACAGTTATATACAGTCTGTAAAAACTCAGTATAGGCCTGGGGCTATCGCTCAGTGGTAAAGCATGCACCTAGCATATGTGAGGCACTGGGTTCAATCCTTAGCACCATATAAAAATAAACAAATCAAAAAAAAAGCATGCTGTCCATCTACAACTATAAAAATAAAAAAATACATACTTTAAAAAAAACAATACATTTTGTATTCTGGCAAATACATGTAAAATTAAAGTTACATTTGTAACTATTTTTAAAAGTACAGTTCTGTATCATTTAGTATATTCATTATTCACTATGTATACCATCACCAAAATCTAGTTCTAGAAATTATTTGACATGGAAAACAACCAATGCCTATCAGCTGTTATTCCCTTGGTTTTCCTTCAGTAAACCCTGGCATAACACTGCATTTTCATACTTGTTGACTTATGCCAGGACATGCTCCTGGTTTCAGAGATGATGTTATCAATGAGCTTTTGAGTTAGGCATGATTCTTCACTAGAGCAAATGTTCATAGAGTGAGCCTGGATTGCTAAATATAAGTACTCAATTTTCCTTCTTGGAGGAGGGGAAAGGAGCAATTCTCTAGATATGTAAGATAAACATTTTCTTTTATTTCAAAGTCAGTCTCTCTCTCTCTCTCTCTCTCTCTCTCTCTCTCTCTCTCTCTTGTGAGGCAGTGTCTTGTTGTGTTACTATGCTATTCTTGAACTCCTCGGCCCAAGCAGTCCTCCTGCCTCAGCCTCCTAAGTAGCTGAGACAACAGGCTGTTTTTAAAGTTCTTCCAATACAGAAAATGACATAATAAAGAAACATAAGTGCCTCATTATTGTACTGCCTAGAATTTTAAAAATAAAATAGCAATAAAATCTAATCCTTATAGAAAGGTACCAACTGAAACAAATTTTCCTTCACTTTCTCCTGCCCCTAACTCTCTTTCCAAAAAGAATTATTATTAATAGTTCATTATGTGTATATTCTTAATTTACTTATATATTTCTTCCTCTTATTGATGCTTTTATTTCTATAGCATAGATTCCCCAAAATCCTTTTCTTTAAATTCAGTATCCTAAGCAAAATATTAAGTAGTTCCTGCCAATAAGCACCTGACTTACAGTGAATCTATGAGACTAAATAGCTGTGTATCCAGATGCATTTTAGCTACAGATTTGGGGAAAAAATTCAGCTAATGTGCCAGAAGGGCATGTACTGTTTATTTAGGAAGAAATGTAGGCCCTGCTTAATGGCCTGCCTCCCTAATCCTTGTGTGTTAGATAATGCCTTTCTTCATGTCCAGCATGAAGTTGCTAATCTCCAAATGCCATAAGGTTGAGTATCCTTTATCCAAAATGCTTGGGACCTCACATATTTCAGATATCAGAAAATTTTGGAATATTTAATAGACTTTACCAGTCATTCATTCCCTAATCTGAAATCCAACATGTTCCAAAGTCTGAAACATTTTGAGTAGCAACAAGATACTCAGAAGTTTGGGATTTTGGGACATATTGGAGTTTGAATTTTTGGATCAGGAATGCTCAATTTGTATTTCACATGACAGAATACAAACTAGGAAGCAAGAGGTCACCAAAAGCATTTTTCTTTATGTGCCTTCCCTTTTCAGAGAGGAAACTTCTCTAAAAACTCCCAGGAGACATCCCTTTATATCTTTGTTTGTTTGTTTTTAATATTTTTAGGTTTACATGGACGCAATACCTTTATTTTATTTATATTTCTGTGGTGTTGTTGATAGAACCCAGTGCCTCACATGTGCTAGGCAAGTGCTCTAACACTGAGCCACAAACCCAGGCCCCTTTAAGTTTTATTAGTGAGGACTGGATTTCATCTTAGTCACTGGCAAAAAGAGGATAGTTCTGTTGTGATTGTCTTAGATCAGTCTTGATTCCTAAACAACATCTGAACTGAGAAAATGGCTATTGAGTAGGTCACTGTCAATGTTTGCCACAAGGAGAATATCCTGTATCCTGCTTCTCCCTTAACCTCTGCGTAGGTAGCTTTGGGGCCCTTTTGGGAACCTGTGCATTTCAAAGAGGAAAAAGAAAGAAGGCTTTGAAAAATAGGTATGGGCCGGGGATGTGGCTCAAGCCGTAGCGGGCTCGCCTGGCATGCGTGCGGCCTGGGTTCGATCCTCAGCACCACATACAGACAAAGATGTTGTGTCCGCTGAAAACTAAAAAATAAATAAATTCTCTCTCTTTCTCTCTCTCTCTCTTTCTCCTCTTTAAAAAAAAAGAAAAAGAAAAATAGGTGTGGTTCTTCTACCCAAATCTGGCCTGATTCTAACACCATCACCTTGGAATTTCCTTGTACTTCCTAAACCCAGGTTATTGAGTTCTGCTACTTTCTGCTTAAAAAAGAAAAAGGGGGGAAAAAAAAAAGCCACCTCTGTTTTTTCTCTTACTCTGTTGCTTTGACACTTCTCTACTTTCAAGGCCCAGAACTTAAGCCCTATTAAGGTCAGCTGCCTGTGAGTTAACTAGGGCCTGGAGGATCAATCTTAAGTCAATTGCCTTTAACTTTTTTGGAAGAAGCCTCAAAGGTAAGTTTGTGTGGTTCTGTACTCCATACAGAAATCTCTCTGAACACCCCCAACTTTGCTGTTTAAACATATGCATGAAGGAAATTCATTGTCTTGGATAGGCAGAGCAGTCTTGATGGCCCTCTGGCTCCACTTCAGTCCTGCACCTTGCTGTGGCAACAACCTGGGAGGGCTGGGTCTCAATCAGGATGCACATACCTTGTGCTTTCTAGCTGAGCCCTGTTAGTGAGGAGATTAGATACCTGAAATTGAGAGATCCTTTGGAAAAATAACAGGGGTAATTTATACTAGAAGAGCCCCACAAGTACTACACATGAATACAATTTTGCATGTATTATCATGTCCCTGAGGAACATATGTCCTCAGTCTAGTGAAGAGCAGATCAGTGCCTTTGTCAAATGTTTCTTGTAAGGAGATTATATTGCCAAAGAATTTAAGGGATTTATGCAAGATCAGAAAAAGCTGTGAGGGCTGGGATTGTGGCTCTGTGGTAGAGCACTAGCATGTGTAAGGCACTGGGTCTGATCCTCAGCACATGTAAAAAATAAATAAAATAAAGCATTGTGTCCATCTACAACTAAAAACACTTTTTAAAAAAGCTGTGAGAACTGAGTTGGAGAGGACTTGGAGATCATTTAAGATAAATCATCACTTTGAAGATAATTAGTGTGGGACTCAAGGACACATGGAACATGGCTTTGTAGAATCTTTATTTTCTGTCTTGATGCCATGGGACTCTCTTTCCAACTGTTAGAGCATCTTTAACTCAAGGTCACACTCTTCTGACACAGCAGTTTTAGATAAGAGGCTACAGTGGTTTCTTATAAGGTATTTTGGTCGTGAGATGATTTTAGATCATCTAAAAGCTGCATCAGGGGATGTTACTGTCAGCACTCTTGATCAGTGCCCAGGATGTTGCCAAGTCCTCATGTTTTCTATTTAAAATAACAAGAACTTGTTTTCCTTCTTTGCTGTACCTGATTTATTGGACCATCTCTTTGTCTTGTCTAGATCACGGTCATCTTCCTAACAAATGAGGAGTACCATTCATTGCCTCTCATCATTGGAAGCAGTGTTGCTGGCCTTCTGGTTTTGGTTGTGATTATAGTCATCCTGTTCAAGGTCAGTTCTCATTGTATTCAATAAGGATGAGATAAAGCTGGGTGCAGTGGTGTATGCCTATAAACCCAGTGACTTGGGGGGCTAAGATGGGAGAATCACAAGTTTGAGGCCAGCCTCAGCAACTTAACAAGGTCCTTAGCAATTTAGTGAGACCTGTCTCAAATTTAAAAAACAAAACAAAACAAACAAACAAAAAACAGGGGGTGGGGTGGGGCTGGAGATGTAGCTCAGTGGTAAAATGCTCCTGTGTTAAATTTTCAGTACCAAAAAAAAAAAGGGGGGGGGGATAGGACCTGGCTGTGGTGTTGGGCACTGTACCCCCAGGATAGCCAGTCCTTACTTAGAGCAGCTACCCTGGCCTTGTGGCCACTTTCTCCTCTTGCTTCAACCTTACACCCCATTTAGGCAAATGAGAAACTTGGTTTCTGTGTGAAGGAATAAAGATCTAATTGAAGAGAGATCTTCCTAAAACAGACTGACGGTCATTCTCCTTTTTAAATCCTTTCCTTGTCTTCCCTGTTTGAGTGTCTAAACTTTTTAATTGCTGTTCAAGATCCTGTGCTCTCTGGCCTGTACCCCTCTCTTCCCATGCCCAAGTCTTGTTTTCTTCTCCAAGACAAATCGAGCTGTTTAGAAATAGGTGCCCATCTTTCTGCTTGAACACAGACTACTCTTCTTGCCAGGGGTGCTCATTCCCACCTTTTCACTTTGCTTACTCTCTCCCCTGAAACTCAGCTCAGAGATTCCTGGATCCTCTGTGTTGGGCTCCTCTGTGTTGGGCTTTGTGCTTGTCCTGTGAGCTCCCTTCTGGAAACACTTTCACATGGCATTTGTCACACCATATTGTAATTTTTTCCTTTCCTACTAGATTCTGAGCTTGGTGTAGGAGGCTGTACTTGATCTCTTTCTACCCTCAGCATGGTAGGCTGTACTGACTATTACATAAGTAAAATTAGATCCAGTGCAGCCCAAACTGTACAACTTTGTAGAATTAGTTAGAAGAAAGGTTTAAATTCTGGGGGTTCAGAGCGAGATGGGAAGTCAGTTCCAATTGAGGATTGAGCACCAGGAAAGATAGCATCAAAGAGTCTGGGAGGATTGACTATCAGGGAGAGACTCAGGAGAAGGGAAAGGGAATACAAGTATAAGAAGCAGAATTGTTTAGGGGCTATGTAGGCAACAACTGGAAGTACGTTTTCTAAAACAGGTATTTTAGGCCTATAATTGGGCTTCTCTTCCTTTGTTTCAGTGTGGCTTTTTTAAAAGAAAATATCAACAACTGAACTTGGAGAGCATAAGGAAGGCCCAGCTGAAATCGGACAGTCTACTCTTGGAAAAAGATTAGGACCTGCTTCTTTGTCCACTGGGAGAGAATAACCAGCTAATTCTTGAACTTCTAGAGATTTGGCATTGTACTGATTACTTTTTCCTTAGGATAATCTAGAGCAGCATTGAACAAATTGTAGAATATTATTTTTTAACCACACATTGTCCCCCAAATGTTTGTGCATTGTACAAAAAGTAAACTTGGGAAACATCCGCTATTAAATAAAGTTGAACTATTTCCTTTATAATAGTGCTTTTAATTTGCAAATATACCTTAAAATAAATATCCCTTTGCAATAAATTTTTATATCTGCTTGGTTTATCTTAAGTGTATAGCCTTAATTGGGGATCATTGATATGTTTCCAATATTGTTTTCCTCCTTAGAAAAACAACATTTTTTTAACTTGCTGAGGTTTTTAAAAACACTTCTGTTGCAGGGTTTTATCATTTTCTTCAAAGAAAGAAGACCTTTATGAAGGTCACTTATGAAAACCTTTATTTTCAGCTATATATATATAGTTTTGTTACTATTATGATAGTGAAAAATATCTTTTTCTTCCCCTGATTAGAGTTTGTCTTTAGAACAGTTGGTTGTTTTGAATATTTATCCAGCCATTTTACTGAGCTGTGTTTTCTAAATAGCTTTTTAATTGGTTCTCTAGCTTCTGGGATCTAGTATCCAGTTGTTGCAGTCCTGGGGGCACATTGGTCAGGGGGACTGAGGGGTGGTTTCTTCTTTCCAGGGCCTGGGAATGGGTTGGACTAGCCCTACCCAGAGCACTGGCAGATGATCTCAGGCCCTTGGCTTGGGTCTCTGGGTGCTGTCTTTCCTCTCTTTAGAGCCGTGTGGTCTGAGATTAAGGTTGGAGTACCAGGGTAGGAAAAAATGGCCCACTTTGGTTGTGCAAATGTTTTAGATTTCTTAACCTAGCAAAAGGCTGCCAGTAACTGGAATTAGGACATTGGGGCTTTTGGACCAGTATCTCCTGGACAGAGAACTCACGAGGTGAATTGGCTGGCTGCTTAAGGTTGGCTAGTGCCTCCCTGCAGAGGTTTCTGGCTTTTTGTGTTATAGACCCTTTTGACAGTTGAGAGACCCCTTCTCAGGCTTGGTCACTCTACTGCAGACACTTTAAGTGTATGGGCTAAAGGAATTTAATTAATTCATTCTTTATTTTACAAGCCTTGGCAACTATCTGCTTCATTAAAGTTCTCTGGTTCAGACTGGGGAAGCCTTTTCCTGCCCTCATAGCTCTATTCTACAGATGTGTACCCAAATGTGACAGTGAGAGAAAAAGCAATGTTCCAGACCAATGGGAATTTAGGAGGAGACAGATGCCTGCAAGCTGAACCTTGAAGCTGCCTGCAAAGGACTAAGGTGAGAGTTGTGGAGGTTAGAAAATGAAGGATGTGATAAAGCATGTAAGCCTATTCCACTGAAGCTGGGTTGGGGAATATGAGGTTGGAATGGGAGGTGAGGACAGTGTATTGTGTAAGAATCTACATGCCTCATGGTGGCACATGCCTGTAATCCCAGCTACTTGGGAGGCTGAGGCAAGAAGCTTGCAAGTTTGAGGCCAGTCTCAGCAATTTAGCGATAGCTTGTCTCAATATAAAAAATTAAAAAGGTTTAAGCATGTAGTTCAGAGGTAGACCCCCACCTGGATTCAATCCTGGGTACTGTCCTCCCCCTGCCAAAAAAAAAAAAAAAAATCTACATAAGAATTATGTACAAGGAACTAAATGGGAAGCCACAGACACCTCACTGTTTTCTGTGAAGGGACTGGGTCTGCTCAGTTGCTTAGGGCCTTGCTAAGTTGCTGAGGCTGGCTTTGAATTGCAGACCCCTGCTTTACTGTTTTTGTTTGATACTTTTGTAAAGTTTTTCCCCATTGGGAGCAAAGTAATAAGTACCAACCCATCAATTAAGATGGGTCCCTAGAGCTGCTGATGGATGCGGGAATACTTCCCACAGATTGGAGCTTCCTTTTTCCTATTGACTATATTTAAGCAACATTAATAATGTATCTGCTAGTTTTTATGTGGATCAGAAATGCCTATTAATGGAATGTGTTTGTTATAGCAGGAGCAAAAGGTAAATTAAAGGACAGGTTTCTTTGTGAGACCATTGGTGAAACCTTTCCATGCTGTGGCTGTCCCATGCTTGTCTCTGGGCTACCAGGGTACATGAGGCTCTGAAGGAAGGCCCGGTCATCTTGTAATGACTTTTGTGCACTAGGACAGATTCAAATCTACCTCCAGGCCTTCCCTGTCCTTTGAGGTCGAAAATAGAGTTTACTAGGCAGAAGTAACATCTGAACATCCGTCCAAGACCTTGGGGTGGGACAAGGCCTTGGCACCACTGTGGTTTTTACTAGAGGCTGAGCAGAGCAAGATGGTCCCAGGAGTAGGTCCAAACCACACAGAACAATAGATTAAAAATGTCAGCAAGTCATAGGAGCAAGTGAGATGATATAGAAAGGCCCTTTAGAAATCCATTTTGTAATTATTTTGCATCACATATACCTTAAATCACCCCACCAGTCAAAGGCTCATGAACAAGATGAGAATGGTTTGCTCACTGCTAATCCCTTCCTTTACTTCAGGTGACAGCACTCATCCTAGTAAGGCAGGGTATGTGTTCTGGGGAGGGAGGTGACGTGAAGGGGTGGTGAGGCAGGGACAGGGCTCTGATTACTTTGATGACTGACAATGCACCCCTGTCTCCTGCCCCTACAGTGAAGTTTATAGGCTTGAATTTAGTTCCTGGCATACCAGGATGGTGCTCCTGGCCCTTGTGTCAGTGGGAACCACTGCAGAAGGTGCCCATTTTCTTGACTGACCTTCTCTTCTCAAAGAATTGAGTCATTTCCTTCCAAGGAGCACTATGTGACAGGATAGGAAGAGGGGTGTGCAGGATCCTGGCCCCAGCAGAGGCCTCCCTCACAGCGATAGGGTGGATGCATGCACTACACACTCTGTGTCCTCCAGAAGAAGCCATAGTTCCTAGAGGACATGCTGAAAGCCCCAGTGACTGGCCAGGAGATCCCTGGACCTTGTTTCAGCAGGTGTGAAGTGGCTTTGCCGTGACCTCTGGCTCTCTCACAGAGCGAGTGAAGAGAGGCGATGTGGAAACTATAAAGCATCATGCTCATGGTAACAATGGAGGCAATTGCTTGGACTATGGAGCCAGATTTCCTGGATCCAGTTCTGGCACAGATGCTCACTAAGGGTGTGGATTGTGGGCACATCTGACCTCTTAGGATAGGTCAGGGTAATGACAGTACCAACCACAGAAGTGGTCATGAGAATTAAATAGGTCCCTCCATGTAAGGCATTTAGAGCAGAACTCTGCAACCAGCGAGCACTAAGAAGTGTTCACTGTGGTAATAGTTGTGAAGGTCATGTCCATCAGGCACTATGAGGCTCTAAGACTTGACATGGGGCTAGGCAGAATCAAGGAAAATGCACTCAAAAGTAGCAGCCAATTTTCTCTCACAGGGAGAATTCATCTTGATTTTGGAAATGTCCTTGACTCAGAGTTTTAATGATGCAAATGTAAAAAGCAAAGGGGTGTCACGGGCTTGTTTCCCCAGGTGCTCTGGAGACTGGACAGGGGGATTGCTGGAGCCCAGGAGTTCAAGGGCAGTTTGGGTTAACAGCAAGATCTTGTCTCAAAAAACAAAAAACAACAACAACAACAAAAAAAAACCAAAACCCTCTTCTCCTCTACTCTCTTTTTAGGTATATTGGGATGGTGAGTTAGCTCCAGCCACGTGAAGATAAAATACAGATACTCTGGGTATAGCTTGTACACATTTTTCACACCCACAGAAATATATTCCATGTCATAATGTCACAGACAGACAGTCTTGAAACAAAAACTTTACTAAATAATGCCTATCCTCATTTCTTAAACATGCTCTAATTTTTAAAAATTCTAGTTGTAACCTAGCAAATCAATGTTGTGACTCACCAGGGAATCTTGGACATAGTCTAACCAGCTGTGTTGTCAGGGACCCCCACAAGGAGGCAGCTCGTTCTCCTCGGATGCCATTCATGCAATCTCTAAAGCTTTGCAGGAAGTTGCAGGTTAGCGTGGGAGTTCAGGGAGGTCCACCTACCTGGAGGACAAGTAAGAGCACAGCCCTTTCTCCAAAGCCAGAGTGGCAGCTGTGACAGGCTAAGAGGTTAGTATCTGGCATTCCAGCCTCTCCAGCAGCACACAGTATGAGCTCAGTAAAGGTTTGAGTAACCAAGAACAGAAGAGGTTCTTGGACTGGGGCTCAGTGACCTCAGAGCCTCAGTTACCCCTCTGGTCTCTGGAGACCCCTCCACAGAACAAACCAGCTCTGGTCACAAAACCTGCAGCTCCCTTTGGGGAGTGGAGAGACTCAATGAAGTGCCATTCTCTGTGCCACTTGTACAAGAGTGGTCCTGTGGGGTGCTTTCCAGCCTCTGGAGTGCTTCCCGAGAGCCTGGAGTGGTGGTGAATGCCTGTAATCTCAGTGACTCAGGAGGATTGAAAGTTTGAGGCCAGCCTTGGCAACTTATCCAGATCCTGTTTCAAAATAAAAAAATAAAAAGAGCTGAGGATGCGGCTCAGTGGTAAAGTGCTTCTGGGTTCAATCCCCAGTACCAGCCTCTGGAGTGCTTCTCTAGGCCAGATGCAACTCAGGGGACTCCTGCCAGCTTGGAAGGTCTATCTTCCTCTTTGCCTTATCCTGCAGCAGTGTCCTCAGGTTCATAAGGAGTGATGTGACTGCATGGAAGCTGCTTTTCCCCGAGGGTTGGAGAGCCACATGGGGGAGGGTTGAGGGAGAGGCTGGCAGCTTTCCCTGTCATGACTGGGACAGGGTGGCAGTTCCAAAAGCCCTCTCTATTAAAAAAAAAAAAAAAAGGCTGGGTTTATTCATTCATTCAACAAATATGTACAGAACAATAATGTGGCAAGCACAGGGGTGAGCATGGGATACACAGATGTCCAAAGGCAAGGTCACTTCCCTACTGGAGCTTCTCATGGGGGGGTGGGGGGACACAGTCAATAAGTTAATGAGATCATCTCTGATAATGACAAGTGGTTTATGGGAATAAGATAGGGTAATGGGGGGGGGCTGGGGTTGTGGCTCAGCAGTAGAGCGCTCACCTAGCACATGTGAGGTCCTGGGTTCGATCCTCAGTACCACATAAAAATAAATAAAGATATTGTGTCCAACTAAAATAATAAATATTTTTTTTAAAAAAAGATGGGTAATGGGGTAGAAAGTGATTGGGGCCAAGTGTGGTGGCCCACACCTATA